AATTTGTTACAATCAGTTGGTCAATTTACTTTGTGTCCTGGACCCGTGTGTCCTCTCTTTCTAGTGTGTCTTTCTGCTTGCTACCTGGACTCTACAGGTGGTCCTTGTAGTGTGTGTCCTTGGACTAGTGTGTCCTTGGACTAGTGTGTCCTTGGACTAGTGTGTCCTTGGACTAGTGTATCCTTGAACTAGTGTGTCCTCTTCTCGTTGCACTTCTGGCACGCTTGCCGGAACCCTTACTTTTCTGTCCTCTTGGATAGACCTCTTCTGACTCTCTCTACACCCGTCTGCTTTCCTGTCCTTCCCCTCTCTTGCCTAGGGCCGTCCTCACCCTAGTGCCTCACTACCTACCGATCACCATGCGGCTTCACGAGGCTCTACAAAAAAATGGCGACCGAACTTGAAAATGGCGTACCTACCAAATGGGACAACAAGCAAAACTGAGCTTCATTTTTATAAAATACGAAACACGAAACAGGCACTAAGATGTGGATATGCAATCAGAGGCAATTATGACTGGATACGGCTCGATGTGGAGTTGGGTAACGGTGAAGAAGGATATGTATTTCCACGTGTCACATGCGTGGATACGGTGCTAGAGTAGAGAGCAATAGGTGGACCGATTCATTAGAAGGGTGGACTCCGGGGGAGAACACGGCCAGGACCATAACGGCCACGAACCAACAAAAAAACAACAACGTCGATAACCCCGAAGGGTTGTCTCCCGTCTAACGAATTTCTTAACACAACTGAGCACGGATATATATGGGGAAGGAGGGCCCGCGGCGGCCAGGTGGGCTGCGAGTATTTCCTTTGTCGGGTTTTTGATTTTTGCTTTGCGTACTACCTTAGGCTGTGTCTGTCTTGCTTTTGGTTGCTGATTTTCCTTTATATGCCCGCCATAGCATTAGGGCCCTAAGCTGTATGAACAATAAATAAACAAATAACTAAATATACAAATACCCACGTCGATGCAAGAGGGTACTAAGTACATAGAAAAGGGCGACGAGGATTCAACAAGTTGCAACCGCTGTACCGTCGGTAGTGTTATTGTCCGTCCAGTCCGCTCGGTCCATCCCGACCGGACCGGATCATAAACCGCGCGCGATCTCGCCGGTGGGCCGGACCTAGGCCACCGAGCGGGCCGGGCGGACCGAGCCGGCCACTTTACTACGTACCTAACTACTACCAAGCGCAAGGGTGTGCTTCTCGACTCTCGACCCTCGAGAACGATCCCGGCTAGGTACTGTGTCCACGGGGAATCACTCGATGCCGAGGAAGATTGGTTAGAACTGATGATTGAGCTGTGTAGTGTACCTGCTACGCTGCTTTCGACCCGTTTCACTATACTGCCTACTGTGAAGTTGGAACCCGCGCTTTCGCCTCGCCGAAGTTGTCCCGACTCCGGATCACGGCGTTTTCCGGAGAGAGCGCCAGTTGCAGCGTACTTCCCCACGCTTCGCCCACCCAGTACCATCATCTAGATTCTATACTTTGTCCTGACAGCGGATGGTACTGCGCTCAACAGAATGCCTCTAACTTGCACAGAATCGGGTAACTATGCCGACAGCACGTCGCAAATCGACACAACGACTCAACGACTCGACAACATAACGACTCGACAACACAGCTCCAGAGTTGGAAACGCTGACCAAGTCCGGATTCCAAACGATGATAGATCTTCCCACCTAACGGCTGACACGGTTTAGCGATGCAGCTTGTGGATACCTACTCCGTCATCCATGGTTTCCGGAGGTACATACATTGGAACACACCTGCCTGCACGACATACCGATTCCCGAGAGTGCACGACTACATAGTGATACTTCGCCGTGTGATGGGCCGCCGAGTTACCGGCCAGCGGCGCTCTCATCCATCCACATACCGTCCGCAACCACCTAGCAGTCGGTGCATGACACCGTCCTGGCCGAGTTCACCTCCGGTTTTGCGAATACTGGCAGTATCATTTGCTTTCCTGATGGTAGCAGGTCGAGCGGGGGCTATTTGTTACGGGTGGGTAGGTTGTGGATAACTTTTTTAGAATGAGTCCAATTGCTAGCTTCCGGCTTTGCGTACCTATTCCAGCCACTATCGTCCGCTGCTTGATCTGTTGTTCAATATATCACTCGACGGCTTAGTCATGGTGGAAGGTAACGATGGGCCTTAATTGTTTGCTTGCACTCTCGGGTCTTGCGGATAAAGCTGTATCCAGATAATGCACCTACTTACATACGCCGCAGTGCTTCATCATCGTTTCCAATCCATTCGTGTGCGTGGCCTTGCATCGCGAGTGATGGAGTGTGAAGAGTCGTCAAACTGCGGACGATGCTGCGTCGGAGTCACGAAAAGCAAGAAAGTCACCACCAGTGATAGTGGCTCACCCAGTCCTTTCGACCTCACCGCCGGCCTGGCTGGGGGTGTTGGAGAAAGGGCCGTCTGCAAAAACGTGACGTTTTGTTTTTTTGTTTAATCGTTGGTTGCATGCGACCTGTCTAGCTTATGGCAAAGTGATGTTTTATTGTGGAATGCGCGTGGTGGATTTACGTGGTGGTTATGCCGAGTTATCGCAAGTGCCGATGGTGGAGGGGGTTAAATTCAGTTGGTAGCCACCGCGCTATACCACTCCGCAAACTAGTAGTCAGCATAGCACGCTAATGCTATCAAATACCTATAGGTACCTGGCGGGTATCCGGGCATTTCATCCTCCGGGCGGAATGGATCAGTCCTCTGGAAAGCCTGCCCGGGACGAGGCGGGACTACAGTCCACTAGTGGACTGTAGTCCGGACGAACGGTTGACAACCCTGACCTAGACCCACCTCGCAAACAGCAATCGTGACATTGATTTTCCTCATTATCTACTTTTGACTTGCATATCCGCCATTGCACAGCGGTAGATTATTCACTCCCAAGCTCAGCTCTCCTCCCCACAATGCGATCTCATCAAACCCATCGTCGGTTGCATCAACGAGTGAGTATTGATGATCTGATCGTATTCTTACTTCTTGCCTATCCCCGCACCAACGATCCCGTTTCCATTCCAACTGTGTCAAGCGTGCGAGAGGCGGTGCGTGACGGACATTACTGTAAAGAAGGTATGTGTAAACCCATGCTGCAAGTTTCTCCCCCTGTGTTCCGTACAACTATACAGCCGTTCACACTTTATCACTCGTCCGTTATCGCTTGCTGACCTTCGCGAGAGAGAATCATCACAAGTTATAGATGCTCATGCGTTCCTGAAGTATGTGATGTTCTGGAACGGGTCATGGAATTTGTCAAATATACTAACATAGATAAGATGATTGGCAGGAAGATATAACTGTTTTGGTACCTGCTTCTTCTTCTACTCCGGGTCGGTGCCCTTCTATATATACAGATTGTGTCTGCAGACTGCCATTGGGAGATAGACCTGCCGGCGAGACCAGACAGCACAAGTTAGAACTCATCCCCACCTCCGGATACAGTTCGCATGACCGAGTCCTTGACCCCTTTAGAACTGAGAGCAGTACTCCTTGAAACTTCACTACCACGTACAGCGGACATGGGGAGAGAACCTTCATGCTTCCGACGCCGTAATCTCACACAATTGAAGCTGCTGTCTTACGATTCCGAAGATCTGATCGTAGAGCACACACCCACCGGCCGGTGTTGTGGTATTGAATACCGCTTGCGGGGGGGGAAATGGTGGGAAACATCTAGGTGTGTGCCGCTTCCTGTCGGATCATGCACTATCACTCGCGCCGTATGCCTTTCTCTCCCAGAAGCCTTTGTATGAGCTTTCAAGCAGGTATCACTCGAACAATGACCCCGTCGGCCAACTTTCGACCCGCACTAGCGCCCCACAACACCTATAAAACCCTCCTCTCCCCTCCACACCTCCATCTTTCTTCCCCATCCTAGTGCAAGGGCAGTATAAGCTTCAGTGAGGATGCAATCTGTGAGCTTGTTGTTGCTGGTTGAAAACTAAACCTTGACCGCTCCTGGCCTGCTTCGGCGGCGCCAGGGAATTTTTGGCCTCTTATGTGCGATGTTTTTCGTTGGCTTCCAGGTTGCAATTTGCAAACGTGGAGCTGAAGAAAGATATACACTTCGAGCTGCTGCTGTCACGGTCAGAATGGCATGATCACGGAGCACACATCTACCGGATGGCGATGTGGTATTGAATACCGCTTACGGGCGAGGAAATCGTGGGAACTTAACATTCACTGGGTGTGCGCTTCTTCGTGTCGGAGTACCTACGGTCAATAGACATCCTTCATGTGCTTCGGAAAACATGATCTGATGGAGTTAGTGGTGATGCCCAGTTTTAGGTAGCAAGTGGTGCAGTGGCATCTTCTCTTTTTCATGGTGGATGAAGTTACAATTTCAAAAGCAAGAAAGTCACCAGTAGTTGCCAGTGATCATGGCTTACTCCGAGTTCTCTCGACCCCGCCGACGGCGTGGAGGTGGCGCAGGTGGGTTGGTAATCGAGCTGTCTGCAAAAGCGTGATGTTTTTGAACGGGAGTTGTGGAACTAGTGATGCCGAGATGTAGCAAGTGCTGATTGTAGGGGGGAGGGGGGTTATAATTTTAAAATCGAGGAAGTCACCAGCAGAGATCATTGCTCTGTTGGAGCAAATTTCCCAGAAGGTGAGGCGCTACCACACCCCAAGGTCCCGATCTGTCACAAGGGTAGCAACCTTGGGGGAGGACGCTCTTTTGCTGCGGTTCAAACCCGGTTTGCTGCTTTACTTTTAGTTTCGTTTTGCTGGAGTAGCTAGCTGGGTAGGTAGATTGTCGCTTGGAGGGAGGATCATCACGAAATTATGGGAAAATACTCGTTTGTTGGGCACGTGATGTTTTCGAACGTCTGTTGTGAGGAAGATACAGTACTTCATATGAAAGATAGCAAACTACCTCCATACATAACTTAATCAGTTGAACGCGAATGTCGTGGCGTTCCGTATCCATCCCGACTCTACACCATGTCGTTATGGAGCATCACGTGTCACGGCAGCGTCAATTATTTGCAACAAACATTTAATTCCACTACCATACATATTGTATGTACCAAAACCGTAAAGTAAGAGAAGTTACCATCATCAACCCAAAACGTCGTATCGTCCGTCTACAACTCCTGCGACCCGGCCACTCCACTCTTCTTCTCCGACCACATCTTCGTGCTCCCAAGCTCCATCGCCAGGCCCAGAGTCAACTTCGCATGCTGCAGCATATGGTCAAAGCTCAGGTACTCAATCTTATCCTCGGTGGTGTGAATATGATTATCGCTATCCTCGAACGCGCTCTCGATGACGAACGCGCTGGGGTAACCCGCCTTGCTAGCGCTGGCATGGTCGGAGCACGCGTATCCGCATGCGGTGGCGGTCCACGGAATGTCGCAGTACTCGGTGATGACCTTCTTGATGAACTCCGTCAGGCCCTGGTCGACGTAGTCGGTGATGACACCGACAGCCTCGGGCTTGCCGGCCTTGAGCGTCTTCTCGACGAAGCCGGTCATGTCCTGCTGCAGCATGGCGACGACATCGCGGCCCTCCTTCTCGTAGGAGCTAAAGATCGCTTGCGACCCCAGCAGTCCGAGCTCTTCGGCAGAGTACCAGTGGAACTCGACCGTCTGCTCCAGCGTCTCGCCGCTGTCGGCAAGGTACTTGATGAACACGCGGAACGCCTCGAGGATGGTGACAGTGCCCGAGCCATCGTCGTCTGCGCCCGGCGCGCCAAGCAGCGACGGGAGGAACAGGTTGATGCTGTCCTGGTGCGCGCCGATGACCACCGTCTTGTTCGTGCGTCCCGGAATCCGAGCGATGATGCTGTTCTGCCCCCAGGAATGGGGAAACGGCTTCACCTCGAGGTTTTTGTAGCCGGCTGCGGTCTCGATGACGCGGTTTTGCAGCCACTCGCTGGATTGCCGTCCGTAGTCGCTCTTTGCGTAGCGCGTGTAGAAGCTGGTGAATTTCTCGAGGTTGGCCTGGATCGAGGACTTGTCGAGAGTGGAGAGCAACGGCTTGATGGTTTTCTGGAAGGCGGGCGAGTCGGGGAACTTGACGGTCGGCTTCTGTGAAGTTGCTGCCAGAACCGCGTTCTGGAGGCCGAGAGACGGGTGCTCGGTTATGTCCATGAAGTTGATTCCTTGCTGTGACGCGTCAGTGGGGGATCATCTCGCGACGAAGCTCGGAGAACGCACGCGTTTCAGCTCAAGCTTTTGGTCTTCGGTTACCCATCGCGTCTCGAATGGTGAGAGCTGGATCTGGCGGAGCTCAGAATCGGCGGAGGAGGTGGATGACAGTGCCGCGAACTGGTGGTCTTCAGTTGGCAGCACGAGGGCGGAGGAGAGCGCAGCGGCGGCGAGGAGAGAAAAAGGGATGAAGGACTTCATTATGATGTTCGTGATGGGCTGTTGGTGTAGTTGGTGTAGTTGGTGGTGTGAATGAGGAAGGGGACGCGGCGGGCGATGGAGCTCAGGTCGATGAGCTGTCTTCAGGGTTGGGGAGGTTGGTGTTTCGGAGCTCAGAGCGCGCTAAGGGACGAAGCACGTGGCCAGGTAGCTGGTAACGCCATTCAGATCATCCGCGCGGGACACTAACTACTAGCGCAGTAGGTACATCGCGTACTAGTAAAGCTGAGCTGAGCTGTGGAGCAGTTGAAAGATGGGAAGAGCTTCGAGAGCAATCGGTACTTGAGTATCTTATTCATCAAACATAGAACAGCATGAGCTGCACGAACTGGCGAATAAAAACCGATGCCGTTATCATGCACTTGAAAGTTGGAATGTGCGGGGGCGGCAAGCAGCTTAGCTGACGTCTTGGCATGAATCAAGTGTGGGGCAGCTCCCTTGAAGCTCAAGCTCCCCCCATCCGCATGTCCCCGCCCACATAAGCCATCTCAACCACAACCCCAACTCCTTTGGAAAAGCAAAGCACGATGCACTTCGCACACCACACACGCGTCCCCCTCATCCAGCGACGGAACTTCTACCTCATAAATCTCATGAAAGCCTGGCGAATCCAGTACCCCCGGCACCTTCTCTCGCGTCGGCACCCCTGCGTGGATCAGTGTATCGCCAAAGAAGAAAGTGGAATGGCACTGGGAGTGGGAGGTACGGAATGGACGGGTCACGAAGAATCGGATACGGAGATGGGTTGACGGTGTTGAGGAGGAGAAACGGGAACTCTCGAGCAGCAGTAAGGTGGACACGAAGAGCAGCGAACATGATCAAAAGGTGGACGATGAGGAAGGGGAAATCGATTTTATCACTATGAAGAAGAAGGTTCAGCCTCGAGATACGGGTCCGATGGTGATCGTCGATGAGAGGGGATTCGAGAAGATGGCACCGAAGGTCGGGAGTCAATTGGGGGATGCGTTCGAGATGCCGCCCCCGCAGCCTCCGCAGTCACCAAAGACGGGGACAAAAGCGGATGATAACGTCGCCTTCGAGATGCCGCCACCAATAGTGCAGCCAGCGGATATCACCACCAATACTACAATCGCGATGCCCCCTCCGGAGACGGGGCCTACTACCAATCCCAGTGACGTGGAGGCTGCACCTGTGAATCCAGATGTCATCGCAAAAGCAGAGCCGATGCCGGGGCCGAAAAGGACGGATACGAGCGGTCGTAACGACGCGTTTCAGGTGCCGCCTCCGCCGCGTGAACCCATCCAGCCCATAACCCACAGGAAGCCCCTCAATCCTGACATCGGCGTCCCGCAACCCCGTGGAACGAAGACCGGCCTCTCTGTACCGCCGACAAAATTCACATCCACCGATGCCGCAGCATGGACCTGGGAGCCCGTCAATGACCCCACGGGCACTAAAGCTGTTGACGAGGCATGGCATTCTAACGAAAGCGTCACCTCCTCTAGACGCCCCACGCCCCCCACTCCCACCCCGCGTCTCGACCAATCCACCCTCCCCAACGAAGACATGGACCTCGAGTCCCTGCTCCCCCACCATATCCGTGCGTCGATGTCCCGCCATACACCAAGCACATACCCTCCAGCCTCCTCTGCCGCCGAAACCAACACCTGGACCGAGTCCTTCGGCACGCCATCCGAGCCCACCAGCTACACGACCTTAACACTCGAACCGCTCACCTTCACCGCGAGCACCCACGTGCCCCTCTCTCTCCTCCGCGAGCACACCTCGAGCTTTCTCTCGCTCCCCACCCCACCCCCCGATGAGAAGGTCTCCTCCACAACACCCGACTCCGAACAGGAGGCGGAGTGGCTCGGCTTCGATCCAACCCCGGCGACCACCGCAGAATCAGTCTTCGTCTTCCTCCTGTACCCGTCATCATCGCGCCCGTCCTTTGCCCTCACCACAGTTCCCGCCTCCATACCGACGCCTACGCACGAGCTCCAGCCAACCGAGGCCCTGGATCTTCTTGTGCACTCGGGATTGTTCCTCCCCTACCTCCGTGCGGCGAGGGAGGCGGGCGGGTTGCTGGTCCATGCTAGTACCCAGGGCGCCACATGGGCTGTGACGGATCAGGGGATGGGATGGAGCGTTGTCCATAAACTCGAAGCGCTGCCACGGCCGGGGTTTCGTTCGACATCGGTAATCCAGGAGGAGGTGGTGGTGAAGCGCGAGAGTCCTGAGTACAGTCGGAGCCAGAGTGACAACGGAAACCTTGCGAAGACAAAGGGGAGGCCTGAGAGAAGTCTAGCCAGGAGGATGTTTTGGGCGGGTGTGTGGGTAGGCGGACTGACGGGGTTGATGGGTTTCTATGGACAGGCTTAATTTTTGTTTGAATGGGCATGCATACTGGTATGTAATGGAGTCTGTTGTCGCTAAATTCTGTTATCTCTCCTTTTGGTGGTTCTGTGGATTTTCTGCGGCGTGATGGCATAAGATTGGACTTTGAATGCCGGTATTCTTGAATTGCTGATCAACTCAGCCGTATTTGGGCACAAATATCACGTAACATTTTACTTTACTGCCAATACGGATTGCCATACTGCATCGCCTCGCCGCCCCGCGGGCCGCGTGTGATATTGAGCAACTGCAGCCTCCGCAGAGCTATTTCATTCTACGAATTTTCACTGCCGTCGTCCCGTTCCACATACAGGACGCTCAATGGTTAGCAGGTGGAGATCTGTTAGGGCGCGTTGGGATAGTCTCACTCTTCGGTTCCCGTTTTAGAGCAAAATTCAGTTCCCCGCCGGGACACCGAATACTGCTCAATTTCAGTTTCCAGAAAACCGTGAGGTAAACAGTGTTTGGCAGTTCTTAGATTACTCAGCCATAAGTCTGAATAATAGGCTTCGCCAGAACTTTAATAGTGGACGCATCATAAAAAGCCCCGCTTTTTTCTCTTCCCCGTCCATCAGTGAACACTGAAGACACCAGCCCAGTACCAACACCACGCCGGTACCAGCAACTACATACACCATTCGCAACACCAACTCTCCAGCATCCGCAGCACCAGAGCATCCTCGATACCAGGCGAAACTCCGCATCTGCAACACCAGCTCCCTCGCTTCCGCAACGCGACGATTATCGGTGGCATGGATATTGCTACGGGAGAATTTGCGATCTCAGGCAGCGGACTGAAACGAAAGTTGGACGAGACGGCGGAATCCAGCCCAGCAGAGCGCGATAGTCCGGAGTTGGCTCCTCCTTCTCCAACCGCTCAAGGCCGTGCTAGTAGTCCGTTTGATGAGATGTGGGACGCAATTGACAGATATTCCCCGCTGCCAGTACAGATGGAGACCAGGCGAGAACGAAAGAGGAGGAGAAAGGCGTTGGAGATAGCAGCGCTGGCGAGGGAGATTGCGGCACTTAGGGCGCTGGCTGAGGAGAAGGATAAATCCTGGCGGATGCGGGCGTTGGAACGCTATAACCGGGAGTATTGTACTGGGGAGGGTGGTCATTCGGGAGGAAGCCTACGGGCTGCGGCCAAAGTTTTCATGAGTATGGCAGTGGCCGAGCTTTTCATGGCCTTTCCTGTGGGAGAGGAAAGGGATAAGTGGATTGAAGGGGAGTTGAATGCTGTTCACGCTAGCTAATGGAGCTTAAGTGTATTTTTTAAGAAACAAATGTAATGAAATGCGATAAAAATCTGATATTATGCTGAACCGCTTCTCAGGTGATACAACAAATAATCTTCCCACATCGCCATAGCAATTCGGTCTCGCATACCAGAGGCCCCCTATCCTCTCGGCTAAGCGCCGGTGGACCGTGGACATAATCTGTGATGGAGACAGCCTCTGCACGCTCTCTCACCATCCATTATCTACGCAACAGGGACTTAGGCGGATAATCAACCCTCGCCTTCTATCTCCGATTCGGTGATTGCTCTGTGTGTGCTTTCTTTTCGACCCCGCCACCGGTCTGGAGGAGTGTTGGCTAATGAGTCGTCTGCAAATGGGTTGACGCTGTTGCGAGTAGGTCGTAGATGGTTACTTGGCCGCCAGGATAGTTACATCAAACTCGGCTCAAACCAACTCAGCTGGTGGGCTGGCGGGCTCCGGCGCCTCCGGCTGGGGGTTAATGAGGTTGTATGTTGGACTCTGGAGTGGGATCGCAGGGTAGAACTGTATTTGCTACACACGATCTGCACTGTGGTTTTACATTCGCGTTCGACTGATCATAAAACATCACATCTTTGCAGACGGCGCGATTGTCAAGCCACTCCACGCAGCCGGCAGGGTCAAGAGGACTCAGAGTAAGCCATGATCACTGCTGGTGACTTTCTTGCTTTTGAAATATTAACCCCGAGGGCCCTCCACCATTATAGAAAAGCGAAGATGACAACTGTCAGTCAGTGGTCATTTGGTATCACTCGCTGTTTCTGCTGTCTGGGAGGCGGTTCATCATGGTTTCGCGTTCGGTCGTGGACTGGGGTCGAATCATGCAACCAAATTCTTCCATCACCGTAGAGCTTTCTTTACCCCCGCGGAGCTGGCAGGAAAGTTTGGGAAGTTAGATGTTGCCATAGTCTAGTAAGGCCACATGCTACAATACATTGAAGATATCTCTCCGTCTTTCTTCAATCACTGTGTACCTAGTAGGGCATGGCATGGAATCATTGCCATGGCCAGATGACATTGGGCACGCGACAGAGGCATGGAGCCTTAAAACTAGCGCTTCGAACCCAGGACCACAACTAGCTATCAGCCACTAATCATATGGTATCACTCGCTCATTTCTACCGCCTAGCAGGTGTTTCTTCATGATATCGCATTCGCTCAAAAAGGCAAAGGGAAAGAGGGGAAAGGGGAGATAAGAGGGGTGAGATTTGGAAGAGAGGGAAGTATTTCGTGGTGAGTGGATAATGCTCACAGCAGCGGCGGCGTATATGTGAGCGTCTTCATCGGCGGGAGCAGAAACGCTAGGCTGCAAAAGGCACGCAAGCTCCATTTAAAGGATTCGGAAAACCTCCAAACGAAGGGACAGAAGGCAGGTGGGAAGAGCGGACGAGTCGGCTCGTAGGGGAGTGAGGAGATGTGAGAAGGGACGGGCGGGCAAGCAGGCCCATTTCAGTCTTTACCGTGTATCTACATTTCTAGGACAGGCCGGGGCGGAGGGCAGGGAAAGCCACACCGGGCCGCTGGGTGAAAGCCGGTATAGATAGTGGCGTGGAAACGGAGGGGTGACCGGGTGGTATTGCCATGATCTAGATAGGTCGCATGCAATTACTGATAAAACAAGACGAAGAAAAAAGGTGGAGGAGAACTAGGCTTGGGGGTGAGTAATCTACCGCTGTTCGATGGCGTGTGTGAAAATAAAAAGCAGATAATGACGGAAATCGATGTTACGATTGCCGTTTGCGTTCAGTTTGCGAGGTGGGGCTAGGTGGGTAGGTAATCACTTGTGGAGACCTCAGGATGAATGGGCGCTCCCAGTTCACCAGAGTGAATCACCCTTCGTGACTCCGCTAGTGCAAGTGTGAGGTTCCCAAACCTCTACAAAACCCCCACTACTCTCCCAGTCTTTCCTTCTCTCTTCACACTCTCCACTCCCCACCTTCCTCCGCCCGCTACGACTTTTCTCTCTACGAATCTTTTTGACCTTTAACCACACCGGCTTGTTTATCCCGGCTCTTAGAATGAAATATCATAATAACCTCGCCATTCTAGCTATAACCACCCCACACCATACCTAGCATTAACGACCTTCTGGGGGCGACTCCTAAGGAGACCGGATACCGGTACCGGTCCCGCGCCCGCGCTCCCGCCAACCGCCGACCACACCCCACGCCCGCGCCCGAGGAGGACTCCCGCCTCCGCCCTAACTACGATGACGAAGACGATACCTTTGATGGTCGTCGCTCCCGCAGCTGCTCGTGCGAGCCCTGCCACAATTATGGTGAGGGCCGCGTAGCTGCGGGGGTCGACCACAGGGTCGTCTTCGTCGGAACGCCCGACCATGAATGGAAGGGCGAGTAGTAGGGTGGAGCGGGGGCTCCTGTTATTTTCTTTTATTTCTAGCTTTTTCCTATCTTCTTCCTGTGTTGTGTTTTTTCCTGTGTTGTTTTTTTTTACCAAAATTGAATCCATTTTTAAAGAGCTCTGTGTATTGTACATTCGTAACTTCCCTTCAGAAGGCGTTTGTGCCGCGTCTTGAGTTTGTACATAGGAGTTGAGTTGCTCGCGGTCTGTCACGTCGGTCATTCCGACGCTATAGGAGCGGGTATAATGGGTGAGGTGGAAACGCTCCTCCCAGCTGGGCGCCCCTCGGAGGAGGAAAAGCCGAGTTGGAAACGGAGGAGATGGGACACCGATTGACCATAGCTTTTCCACGATTCGAAAGGATCGGATGGAGCAATTCCATGCGTATTAACTACAGCCGCAGCGGGGCCCAACGAGCGGATTGATATCTACCGGTCAGGACGTCAAATTGGCTGCAGTCACATGAGGATGCAGGTGTGGTGCACAGTCAACAACTACCGGTACATACGACTATCGCATCGGGAGGATGCGGTACATGCCGACGGGGAAATATACTACGGTTTGGGCGGAGAAAAGGCGCCGCTCGGCTCTAACTTCTACCCGAGTCGGTCAGGATAGGTATTTACATCATTTGATGGTTTCTGTTGCTGATATGTCCAGTGTTTTGTTCAAAGTATGTACATACGATCTCACTCACACCGAGTGCGATCGTATGCTCTTGGAAATTGTATAAGCCACAAGCCGCATCCATCACAAGATGTATTGGTATCGGACGAAAGTCCGAAAGCTTTTGGTTAGACCGAGACTGTAAGCTGGATGTCATCAAGTGGACTTTTGGACAAAATCTAACCATAAGTAAGGTAGGTACACGATAGAGAAGCAGTAACTTGCGTGATCATGAATTTCATAATATCATCAGGGCGCCTGGGGGCCAGCCCGCTTCACTGCTGTACGACACTACGTAAAGACCCAAAGACATCGAGCCAAGTCACGACCTGATACGCAGCGGCGGGCAGCTCACGGATGCTAATGAACGACTCAACGACCAGGAACGTTCTAGCGGCGACGAACGCGAGACCCAGCACGACGCCGACCGCCATGCAGACAGCATCGAAGCATCTGCGCCACCCAACACCCAGGCGAAACCTTCCTCCTGCTCGCCCATACAAAAACTCGAGAACCCCGTCAGTCCGATCGCAGCGACGGCCAACGTCCCCGGGATAGTGCCGACGCAGCTGGAGATTTGCCAGAACAGCTGCTCGACCGCGGTCGGAAACGTATCGTTTCATATGGTGGCGTGGGTACCGCCGAAGGCGGCGCCGGTCGTGGCGGTGAACACCAGGAGCACCGTGCGGTGCCATAACTTCCACCGCCGGTTGTACACCATCCACACCAGCTCCAAGTCCTGGCCGTAGCCTTTCGAGAAGGTGCCGTCGCGCCGCTGCGAGTGGTCCCGGCTGAAGAGGCCGGGAATGCTCATGAGCTGGTTGCGGATCAGACTCCGAGAGATCGCGTACAGGAATTGGTCTTTCCGGGCGGAGAGATCGGAGCGCAGCCGCTGTTGCCATGTGTGCCGGTCGGGCTGCAGCGAGATCAGGATCAGGTCGATCGGCCGGATCGTCTTCCGCAGTTGCCGTGAGTGAGACTGCGTGAACCGTGGGCCACCTTCGGTGTTTGCTGATCCGTGGACTGCGCGGTCGAGAGTTAGCTTCGTGTAGGGATTCTTTAACGAAGGAATTCATGCATGAATACCTTTGCTCATCTCCTGCAGCACAAGTTGCAGTAACTCGGTTGGTACGGCCCGCATTTCGGATAACTGAATCATCAACTCCCTATAAGATTCGATCGTATCGCTCAACTTCTTCATACCCTCGGCATGATTGACCGGCTCATGAGCACAGATCTCGCAGCGGACAATTCCTTCCTTAATCTCATACAGCGGTGGCAAAAAGTCGCTCCTGTGGAACTGGCGATCGATCTCGTGTCGGTTGGGTCGTTCCGCCTCGGTTGCAGTGGCAACGATGGAGACAGGCAGAGGGAGTCCATCGGTAGCACACATAAACATGGGGCGGCCAAGATCCACCGGCTTCTTCCACCACGCCGCATACATGACCATCAAGTTGACCACATACAGCGCAGTGTGCAGCTCCAGCGGAGTAACAGGAAGATTTCCGATGCTACGGGCCACACATTGCACCAAGACCCAAGCTGCCTGGGAGAGCACAAAGAACTTTGCCAGGGCGTCCTGCTTGCTCCTAGCCTCGATCTCGAGGAGGGAGAAGCCTCGCACGAGTTCCATCTTGTCGGGTTCTAACAGCTGGTCTAAGCGCATCGGCGGGATGCAGCTCATCTCCATGTCCATTCCGCTGAACGGCTTGATGCGGCCACGCGAAACTTGAACCATCGCGATCCCGCCCATGGTTGCGAAGAACGCCTCCAACATTCCGATCTTCCTACCGGTGCCGGTGGTGTTGACGTAGTGGCGGTATTTCAGCGCCACGAGTGCTTGGTGCAGCGCCACGGCCGAGACCATCTCCGGTGCGATGAGCGCCATGAACGCCCACAGGCATTTTCCGACAGCGTTGGGCGGCGGCACTAGATCTTCGTTTCCGAGAAGCGATATCGTGTCGACGTTGAGATGGAGAGCTGTCCACACGCAGGTTCCGGTGGTGACCGCGGAGAGCAGTATGATTCCACCGGATCCGCGCCCGTCCGGTTCCGCTGTCCAGCCGACTCGTTTCGTTGACTGGTGGCGTCTCGGTGGTCGTGGCCGATGATGTGAGGACGTGTAGGGCGAGTACCAAGTAGACGACTATCGGCGGCAGCATGTTGAGCTTATGGATCCTGATAACTGGGGTATTTGTCCGTAACGAGAGGCAGGTACCAGCTCCTATATATCCAGGTAGACCTATTCGGACAGAATCAATGTGAGTACTCAAGTATTTTAAGAACTATTTATCTTATAGCGAGGCAGCCAGCCCTGTCGATTGAGGCGGTGTGGTGCTCGCCACGCAATCCAATGAGCACGAGTTGTTGTGCCGGTACACACGTTGCGCAGAAGAGATTTACCGTAGAACATGCGTAGGCAAGCCGAAGATTCTTTTCTTCCGGTCCACTTTGGGTGCATGAGGAAATATCGCGTTTGTGCCAACGTGCGATTCCCTTCGAAGCCGTTGGCTAGTTTTCAGAATTGCATATAGTTCCGCGGTCGATTACGTCCGCAGCTGTAGGCTGCAGCCTCGTCGAATAAACCGTAGAAGCCGGCACCGCATGGGTACTGCAGGCTGTAGGCTGTTCTAAATAAAAGAAGACCGTGACGATTCTGGCTTCTTCATTGGCCCGTGAAAACTCACAGCCTTCTCTCGCCGTTCTGGCGGTACCGGTATCCTCTGTGGGGAATTTAACAAGCTCGTCGGAACCGTGAACGGGCAGCATAGCCACTCTACCGTTGGTGGACTGTGCCCCTTTTGCCAGGGCTCTTTGCCAATGTCTCTCCAGGCCTGAGGAGAAAGGAAGCGCGCATAGAGGAGAGAGCGGAGATGGGGATTGGCCGTCTATTCGATAGATGATGATCCAGAAAGAAGAAGAAGAAGAAGGGAAAGAAGAAACCCCGCCATAGCTGCCAACTTTCTCCCGCTGATAGGAGTCCTCCTTCATTACATCAATCAAGTCAGGTTCTGCCTTGAACCAGGCGAGTGGGCGATAATGAAGCATGTGTGAGGTCATGGACAAACGTTATGCACCTCCCGAGTCCCGAGTCCCCAGTCCATTTCTGGAGCGTCCGGGAAGTGGCCACCGACCCTCGGCGTCCATCATTGCAGAACCCAAAGACAAAGGATAAAAAGCTAGGATGAAACCACTGGTAGACCGATCGATTGTCTGAGCTGCAAGCAGCCGGCCAACACACACGAGCTCGCCCCGCACCGGACGACGGAGCCCGACCCCACCAGTCCCTGCAAGTTGCAACCATCATACGTGGAAGCGAACCCGCGAACCAGCGAGAGGGTTGAAGTTAGCACATGTGTGTGGGGGACACAGTCTGATGGTAACTACCGGCCGTCTGGACGAGTCGTAGGTTCTCGGGCCAGCTTTCTGCACATTACAATGTGAATTTTCTCCGTGTCCAAGCTCCAACGTCACCACGATTTATCATTGTATCAATCGGTGAAAATTTCCGTACGTGGTGAATGCGAACTCATAAACGCTACTCTATCGACTGCCCGTTTGCCCCGCCGAATGGCGGTTGTGGAGTGGTAGAGTAGAGTGGAGTACTAGTAGTTAGCTCAATTACGGTACCGGTATGCCGGTCACTGACCGGGGAATCAATGGCGTCATCGGGACGAGTTCGGCGACTGTACCGACATTTCAACTCATTGAGTGACGAGTCCCAGCGTATTCTATCTATAATCCTAGAAACGGTTAGGCGCGCTATATACTACGGTACCGAGTCCGAGTTCCTTCCATAACTCCCATCCTCGCTAATGATTAATCCAACGGCAACCACTCAAATTGATACTCCACAACGTCGTGACGTCGTGACGTCGTGACGCCGTGGTGAAGTTTGGTATGTACCGTATTCCGGCTCGCTCAGATCCCTCACACCACGCGGTCCATAACAATGGCATCTCCGCCGCTCGGCGACATCCCCAGGCCTCGCCACAGGTGACAGCCCCCAAGCGGACCCCAAGCGGACCCCGGTGCCGATCTCCCGTACATACCGTGACATCGGCACCGTAGCTGCCATGGTCTAGGCAATGACTAAGGTCGAATACAGACTTTTGGGGAGCGGTGTGATTGGATGCCGAAAGGGCAGGGGCCTGAGGAGCACTCGCAGAGTCTCAGTGGTGACGCAGGGAGGGGCGAAGTAGCATACCTACTTCAGACGATCATGGTACGATACCCTTCGTAAGTCCGTGTCCTATGCTGAGGCATTGACACGTTTACGTTCTGTCAAGGCCTACAGATGGCTCGTTTTATTGGTTCGCAAAATGTCCTTTCTCGATCCCCCACCGATCTACTAGCGGCTTTTGTTTTGTTTTGTTTCCTTTTTTCTTATGTTCCTTGGTTACGATTCTGACCGCTGCTGCCTGGTCTGAATCATTTTCGAGCTGACTGTCGTGGCCACGGTATGGTAGGAATCTGCATAAATTGTGGCATATATAGAGCTCCGGAATCTGGTTCGGGTATTCTAGGTACAGGCGCGTACAAGTGTGTGGGGCACCGGTAGGTACCACCGGTGTTGCTGTAACCAAGTACATACTGTAGTACCGGCAATTGCTGCGTCGTCGTCTCTCTTTTCCTCTCGCCGACGTATGTAACGCAGACTTCATTTCCCTGAAGAGCTCAGGATCGCCGCAAAGCCCAAAACATCGGCTACTGATACACATAAGTGAAAGCGTGCAGCCGGAGCGGGGTAGATACTATATCTACAGGGTACCTGTGTGAGGGACGACCCTGATAGGCGACCCGAGCCTGCGAGCGGTCCCCACGCATCCGACCGGCGAAGCCGTCGAATGCAGAATAAGGAAGCTCCGCCCCGGACCAATCCACATGATCCCGATCATCACGGATTCGGCGACCGGCGGCGGGTATTGTAGAGTACGGTATCACGTAACTGCCGTAAATATATGAGGAGGGGAGGGGCCATGTAGTAGATGGCAATGTCGTCCTGTCGGGCTGTCCGATACGGTATGTCGCAAGGCTGTTCGGGTGGTTGATGATGGCTCTGCCGGTACTAGCAAATACCATTGTTTTTTTCTTCTTCACGCCGCACTCTCGCCCTCATCCTTCAGCCCTCCCCAACTCACGATCAAGTCCCCTGCTCGGAGGTGTTCCCCCAAGTACATAGTACCCCGTATCCCTGCAATCCGCGGGTTCATGCAGCGGGACGCCGGGAAGCAACGGGCGTCCGCGCCTCGCCAAGTTCCGCCGCTGTTGCCGTAGCGACCCCGCTTTCCCCGAAGGGCCCTCGCAAATCCATCACGATGCCACACCGTCGGTAGGTGTCAAATTCCAATCGGCCTTAGCACCCCCTCCCGCACCCCCTCCCGCCCCACCCAATTCTGCGCATCCATCCCGTGTGTATATCGTAGCTGCTCATGTATGGTACTATGATCTGTATGCGTGGTGCGTGGTGCGTGGTGGCGGGAAGGTCCGAGTAGAAAACCTGTCTGTCCCCACGTCGCCCCGTCAACTCCACGCTCGCACACTACTCCACCCCCGCGATTTTTTGTTTCCCGTCTGGCGAGAATATAGAGATCGACGCAATAACCAACAACATCAACAATAACGACGATAACGATAACGACAACACCTCTCCACGCATCATCTTCCGCCCATTTATCGCAACAGAGTGATATATACCTCTTTGCCGGGTCCTTTGTCCGTCCTCCGTCCTCCTTGCCCCTCGGGCCGGTGCTGAAAGCTGACTGCCCATAGTAACTCGCAGGCGACCTTAACCACCACCAAAAACAATAATAATAATATGATGGCCCGCTACCCGAACTACCCCAGCCTACCACCACTACCGCAAGCTTCCTCGTCGTCCTCGTCACCACGGCCCGCGCGGCGATCCGCACACCCACAGCAATTGGCGAGTCGTCGCGCCGTCAATGCTTACTCGGACGTGGACGACGAGGAGGAGGACGAGGGGCGGGAGGAGGAGGAGGAGGAGGAGGACCGCGACTTCTCGCTTGTGACTATGATCGGCACGCGGGGTTCGAGGGGCGCGAGGGGCACAAGGGGTTCGAGGGGCTCGAGGGGCGGCGAGGGTAGCCGATTTGAGGATGTTGAGACTCCGTATGGCAATGGGAATGGCTACGGGAACGGGAATGGCTACGGCAAAAGCAATGGGAATGGCTATAGCAATGGCAACGGCAACGGCAATGGCGCACCCGGCCCGAGCGGCGGGCGCTCTCACCAGCACCGGTACCGACCGCCCCCGGGGCACTTCCACGACTCGTCGCCTTCGCGCCCCCCCTCCCCCTCCCACTCGGACCCCTCCCACTCCGACTCCGAATCCGCCAACTCCTTCCTATCCGCCGAGGAGTTTTTCCCCGCCGAAGAGCCGCGCCGTCGTCGTGCCGCGCCGGCGCCCCCCGACCTAAAGTCCACGCTGAGAGCATCACAGGCTATAAGATGGCAGCGCCAGCAGCAGCAGCAGCAGGAGATGCAGGAAGTGCCGAGCCCCGCAACACCATCGCAGATGCGCCGCTCCGCAGCGGCACTGTCACAGCAGCGGCCGCTGCGCGTGCCCCTGCCCCTGCCACCGCCGCCGTCATCCCCCGCGAATGCGAAGCGAACCCCGCAGCCGGCGAAGCGACGGCCGCCACCGCCACCGCAACCATCACCCCCACCACCACCACCACCACCACAGGGCTCGAGGCTGTGGGAATCTGAGCGAGAGCGGGAGGAAATGCAACTCTACACCCCTAGGGCGCGGGAATCCGAGAGAGAGCGAGAGGAGATGCAACTCTACACCCCTAGGGCGCACGAATCCTCGCGAGAGGAAATGCGTCTGTACACCCCGTCAGCGCGCTCACCGGAGCACGTCCGCTTCCGCCCTCGCTCGCCCACGCACCAGCCTCGGTCATCCACGCACCAACATCGCTCGTTCACGCACCCCTCACAGCGCACCCCCGCCACGAGCCGCCGCTCAGCCGAGCCCCCACGCAGCACCGACCGCGACCGCGACCGCAAATCCCAGAGCAGCCACCGGCGTCGCACGCCCGAGTCCTCGTCGGACACGCCGGACGCACCCGATACCCCCGCCACGTCGCGCGAGAGCTCGTTCAATCGCTCGCTGAGCTACGACCACGAGCGACACCCGGTACAAGCGCATCCCGCGTCGTCGTCACGTGCTAAGAGTAAGAGGCCGGCGGAGGTGGATCAGAGTTGGCCTAATATGCCGGCAAGGAACACGTATGGTGGTGGTGGTGGCGGCGAGCGGAGTGGTAAAGGCACGGCGCGTACCGCCAGGGGCACGCCGCGAAACGGCTTCTACACTCGGCGCGCGGGCGGTGATGTTGACGGATCACCGGGGCCGCGCTCCGCGTCGGGGTCCGATGGCGATGACTGCGATGAGCCCGATGGTCACGTGCATCCAGGGTATCCGGGGTGGCCCTCGGGGCGGGCGGCGCGGAACTCGTATGGTGGTGGCGGCAGTGGTGGTGGCGGCGGTGGTAGTAGTGTCTCGCCAGATGACCGGGTTGCGGCGCGCGGGGTTGGCACGCCGCGAGATACCCACAATCGTCGCGCTCGGGCCGACAGGAATGATAGACGCCCGGTTTCGCCGATGTCGCCAATATCACAGGTATCACCCGCCGAGTCGCTGTCAGAGCGGGACGAACACGAGCCTGGCCCCGCGCACTCGCACTGGCAGTCGCAGTCGCAGTCGAGGCAGGTGGATAAGGGATGGCCGGAAATACCTGCTGCCTCGGGACGGGCCGCGAGGAACTCATACGGCGGTGGTGGCGGTGGCTCACCGTGTGGCCGGGGCGCTGCATCGCGTGGCACAGGGGGGAAGCAAGACAGCTCGCACAACCGTCACGCGGCAGGCGGGGACAGGACGCCGGCATCACTCGTTGCGCCGGTATTCGACTGGGACGAGCACGGAGCTTCGCAGCCGGTGGGTTCGGTGGGTAAGGGATGGCCAGAAACCCCCGTGGCCTCCGGCGGCGCAAGGAATTCGTACAGCTATAGCGAGGCCTCGCCCAGCGAGCGAGGAGCTGCGGTGCGCGGCGGCAGGGGCAACGGCAAGCCGACAGACAACGCTTACAACCGCCGGGCTCGGACCGACGGACCGCCGGCACCACCCGACTGGGTCGACCCCGACCCTTCGCCGTCGCCTTCGCAGTCGCAGTCGCAGCCGCCGAATCCGGGATGGCCGGAAATGCCAGCCGCCTCCGGACGGGCCGCACGGAACACTTACGGCAGCGCCTCACCTGCGTCACGTGGCAACAAGGGGAAGTCGAAGCCGCAAGATACCACCTACAACCGCCGCTCCACCGTTGACAGGCCGCCGGCTCCGCTCGTGGTGCCGGTATCGGACTGGGACGAGCCCGCTCTCGCACTGCCCGTCGATCCGGGATGGCCGGAGACGCCTGTAAAGAACACGTATAACTCAGTCCCAGCCGGTGACAGAGCCGCTCCGGCGCGCAATAACAGCAACAACAGCAACAAGGGCAGGCCACGTGGAAACTCCTACACCCGCCGCGGCAGCCCCGAAAAACCTCCAGCCCCTACCCCCGCGTCGCTATCAGACTGGGACGAGCCCGGACCCGTGGCGGACCTGGGATGGCCAGAGACCCCGGTGGCGCACGGGCGGTCCGCAACGGCCGCGTTGTTGTCGGATTGGGATGAGCCCAGGCCGACGGCGGAGCTGGGGTGGCCCGAGCCGCCGGCGGAAGTGGAGGCGGAGGATGAGGTTGCGCCGGATGAGGGGGTTGCGGCGCGCGGTGGCGGTGGCAGGGGGAAGGGGAACGGGAAGGGCAAAGACAGGGAGTCGCAGCCGGAGGATGATCCCGGCCATGTGTCCGATCGGGACCCGCTGCTGGAGCTGCAACGCGAGTTTGATTCACAAACCTCATCTTCGAGGGAGAGGGAGAGGGAGAAACACGAATGTCTGGTAGAGTCGTTCTCGGACGATGAAGAGGCGTTCAAGGAGACGCTTGCGGATAGTCCCGACAGCCTTGACAGTCCCGACAGCCCCGACGTCGTTGAGAAGAATGCCCGCAAGGAGGGGAAGCGCCAACGCCCAATTATGGTCAAAGTCGCTGCGGACGAAGATCGCCTTAAAGTTCCAGAAGACGGCGATGACGCAGCGAGTAGCTACAGCTGCACAGAAAGCCTCGAGAATGCGATGGCAGGGCTGACGATGGAGACGGGCTATCCCAGCGTCGCCAGCCGCTCGCAGCCCCATCGCTCCTTCGACACGTTCCGGTTCGAGTTGCAGTACGAGGTGACGCGGGTAGCGCTCGCGCTCAACGTCTCCATGGAGCACCTGGACACCACACTCCCCGAGCTCATCGAGCCGTTCGCGCACGATCTGCACAACGCCAAGACTAAGGGCGAGCAATCGAAAGTGATGAAGGCGTTCGCGCAGAAGCTCACTGAGGACCCGAAGATGCCTGAGGCACTCGCCGCCACCGTTTGGCAGAAGCTGAAGGAGACGAAGTGCTGGTCGAATAATATCGAGCTGAGCGGAACGGTGTGGTTCGGCAAGGGCCCAGATGCCGACTTCGGACTCACACTCAATCCAATCTCGCTCCGGAAAAAGAGCGGGAGGTTTGCGGCTAGGTTCGGGTCCGATCGATTTCTCATGCTGAGGCTGCCCACGGTGCTGTCGAAGGAAAGAGGCGCGCAGGAGAAGCGCGAGAATCTCCTCGATTGGCTGGATAAGGAGCTGAAGCTCCTCAACAGGACCTGGAGGTGCTTCTACATCCGCGACGGCACCAAGACGAGCAAGGTTGCTGGCACCATGGTCAAGGAAGACTTCATCCTGGGATACTTCTTCGCCGAGAAAGGAGTTGGGATTGGGAACGTGTCGTATCGGATACGTGAGCTCCTGGGACTCCTCGAGGACGAGAATACGTGTGCCGAGCAGCCAGTATGTCGCAAGGAGATGGTCCGCGACGCGTTGGTCGAGTGGCACATGCCGCTCTCGAAGCATCTCAAGACGTCCTTCTCCAAGGTCTGGTCGCGAATTAGTCTAGGTTCGGCCCACCCCTCCCCCCCCCCCGCCCCCTCCCCGGTCCGTTGCATCTACTAATATCACTCAGGATTATCCGTATCGATGCCAACTGTCACTTTCCTTCCCCGCCAGATTTCACCACTCCCGGATATAATGTCGCCCACAGGCAAGGTCATGAACGACGGGTGCGCGGTGTGCTCGCCGAAGGTGATGCGAATAATCCGCGAGCGGCTGAACCTGACAGAGACGCCCACGGCGGTGCAGGGGCGTCTGGGCGGTGCCAAGGGCGTGTGGTTCGTCAATCCCGATGACGACGACTACTCAGAGGAGATATCGATCACGTATACCCCCTCGCAGCTCAAGTACCAGTTCCACGAGCAGGATGAGGACGACGACAAATGCGACTGGGCGCGCATGACGTTGTTTGTGCTCAGTTACTCGAAGGAGCCCTCGCCAGCCGCCCTCAATATCCAGCTGGTGCCGATCCTGAGCAGACAGGGCGTGCCATTCGAGGCGTTCAAGGAGCTCATAGAACAGCACCTGGACGAGGACCTGGAGCAGCTGCTGAATGCGGCGTCGAACCGCGCGAGCTTGCGGCACTGGCTCGGCAGTCACGGCCTCGAGGAGCGGTACAAGAACTGGGAGATTCCGGTGTTCGATAGTGGCGCGCCGCTCAGCAACGAGGAGCAGATCGCGATGCTATTGGATGCTGGCTTCGATCCTATTGGCTGTGGATTCCTCATGCAGAAGCTGAATGCCATCGTCAGTCAGCAGTGCGATAAACTCCTGGAGAAGCTCCATATAAGAGTCCCCTGCTCCGCCACGGTGTATTGTATTGCTGATCCGACGGGTACCTTGGCGGAGGGTGAGGTGTCGCTGCAGTTCTCAAAGGGCTTTGTGGATCCGATCACCTTGACGCGGCGGGAGTGCATAGAGGGTGATCTGTTGGTGGCCAGAAACCCGGCTCATCTGCCAACGGATATACGGAAGGTGTGTCTCACAATCTATTATCTCACTCATTCTTTCCCATGACACTTGCTAACGTGCTCTAAAGGTCAAAGCAGTTCTGCCGATGCATTCTGGCTTGCGACGGTTGAAGGATGTCATAATCTTCTCCACCAAAGGCAACACCCCGCTGGCCGACATGCTCTCGGGCGGCGACTACGACGGCGACAAGCCGTGGATCTGCTGGGATCGGCGGCTTGTAGCTCCATTCCAGAACAACCGGTCGTTTGCGGCATTCCAGCAATGGAAGCAAGACAAGTACTTCGAGCCGTGCGATCCCGAGAAGCGGTTTCTTTACGACCTGCACCCTACCTACCCCTCGCCCCACTTCTACAAGCAGTTCTTCCGGCGCGGCTTTGCCTCCGCGATACAGGAGGAGCTGCTGGGACTGTGCACGACCGCGCTCAGTCGCTACACATACTTCGAGAAGCCCGGCGAGCTCGACAAGCAGCAGATCCACCTCGCCAAGCTGTGCAGCGTCCTGGTCGACGCGCCGAAGCAGGGCATCCGCCCCACCAAGGAGACGGTGGACTCGATCTACGCGCTGCTCAACAGCTTCAAGGGCAAGCCGGCGTACAAGGACCTCAGCAACGAGGAGGGCAGCCACCCATCAGGCGACGCGGACGAGTGGTACATCCTCGACCGCCTGATCCTGGACGTGGGCCAGCGCAAAGTCGCGGAGAAGAAGCAGCAGTTCATGGACCTGCAGGAGCGGCAGACGAAGTGGCCGGACGCGCACCTCTCCAAACTGTGGAACGACGTCAACAACGAGTGCCACGCGACAAGCAACAAGTCCCTGCGCCGCCTCCTCACCCGCCTGGACGAGGACCTGCACAACGTCTCGCGCGCGTGGGAGCGCGCTATGCGCACCAACCGAGCCGGGAACTTCCGCGCCGCGGCGGAGCCCGTCTACGCGCTGTTCAAGTCGATCCGTCCCGCGCCAGACGAGGAGATCAACGCCGACCGCCGCATTAAGGAGTGGTACGATAATGGCGAGCATCCCTGCTCCGAGTGGCGCCTGCTGAAGGCGTCGAAGCTGTTTGTTATCTCGTGCACCTCGAGGCTCGCTTGGTGGATGGCCATGCCGGAGCTGTGCTACCTCAAGGCGAGGGAGTCGACGAGGGAGCGCGGTGGTCAGGCGCCGAGGATCGTGTGCGATGATATGTACCTCATCTTGAAGCCTGTGGCCCCCGCGCCCAGGGATGAGGACGATTGAGAGACCATAATTGGTGTCTTCTTTCCCTGCTGTGGGTGATTGGGTTTCCAGCAGTAACGTGCTTTCCAAGCGAATGCGGGGTTCCTCTTTGATTTGTGTGTGTGTGTGTGTGTGTGTGTGTCTGAGAGGCTACCTATGGTATCCTTCCGGCTGGATGTTTCTTTTTGGGCGACTTCCGGTTTTGCTTATGGCTGAGTGTTTGTTTTGGGAGGTATCTGTTGCACTCACTTAGCTTTATATCCTGGTTGTTTGGAAGATATCGATTGCACGTTGCATTTATACCCTGTTTGTTTTGGCGTGGATTTGAGATACCACTTGTGTTATACGATTAATTGCTATCCGGCGGAGGTGAATAAATGGTTGTGAAAATTTGATTGGCTGTTTCCTCCGGGGGCGATCGAGTTGATCAAGTAATACGTTACACAGCCGCCAGTGGAGCATGTAAATGCTTACAAGAGCCATCGCGGATCCAAGTTCTGGGTGGGTGTGGACAGTGGACAGTGGATACTTCGAAGTTCGAGCAAAGACAAGTTTTGTGAGCTCGAGCTCCCTGACAACCCCACTTGCAATCCGGACTGACTAGATGCACGCTTTCGCACCTCGGTCCAGTACCAGTACGGCCCCCTCCCACGCTACCGGCGGGCCGGCGCACCATCGAAGATTGAATCAGGAAACCTCACTCGGTAATCGAGTGAGGTTTCATGCCCGCTCTCATGCCCGCGGGCCCGCACCTCTCCAAGGTGAGATGGAGAGGGATGGAAGAAGGTTGAGAGGAAGCGAAAAGGGAAACAGAAAGGGGAGAAGATAGGAGTATGAATTAGAAGAGAGGGAAGCGTCCCGTCGTGGGTTGATAATGCTTGCGGCAGCCTGCGGGGGGCGGGCATGCAGGCCCATTCCAGTCTTTACCGTGTATCTATATTTCTGGGACAGGCCGGGGCGGAGGGGAAGAAAAGCCACATCCGACCCCTCGATCAAAGTCGGGGGGCTAGGTAGCTAGGGAATCACCTGAGGAGAACTCGGGATGAATGGGCGCTCCCAGCGGATTTGCTTCACCAGACTGAATCGCTCTTCGTGATGCAGCTAGTGCAAGTGTGAGGTTCTGAAACCTCTACAAAACCCATACTGCTCTCCCACTCTTTCCCTCTCTCTTCACCCTCTCCACTCTCTAGCTTCGTCCTCACGCGAATACTTTTCTACTTTGAAAATCTTCACCATACGACCTCTTAGTACTCACAACGGTTTGTTTATCCTGGCTCTTAGCATGAAATATCATAATAACCTCGCCATTCTAGAAGCATCACACATCATGCCGAACTTGAACAAGTCGGAACAGAGTGGTCGAATGGTCGATCACAAGACCTCCGACCCTCTGGGGGCAACTACTACGGAGACCCCAAAGTCCCTGGCCGAGAAGAATGAGGGCACCACCAAGACCATCCTATCTTCGTCAGATGACTCGAGTGATGATGATGATCTGATCATCATGTCGACTAACAGCAGCAGCGCGCAGATTACAACATCGGCGGATGTTGTCGGTGCTCTCGGTGCGACGTACGCCCCCGCCGTCAACGGTGTTCGGTGCTTCCTCTCCTCCGAGGACGAGTACGCCGAGCTCTTGCAGTCTGTGCTCGCCGTCGCCGCCACCACCACCTCGACCAGTACCACCGGAAAGCTCACGATATGATACAAGTGTACCTTCTCGAAGCAGGACCTCCTCCTCCAAGAGACCTGCTTCGAGAAGTACCGCTACAAGCTAGTGAACAAGTACGTCGCCGCCACCACCGACGGCGCAGTTATGCTCGACGTCCTTACGGAGAGCGCCGCGTTCCGGGCTCCCGGATCACCCTCCCCACCGTCACCAGTCTCCGCACCCGTCCCCACCACCAGGAACATCAGCAGCAGCAGCAGCCGTGCGCCCTCTCCGTCGTCCGCTCCAAGCACAAGCCAGCAACCGAGCCCGCCAACTGCTTGCAGCCGGCCGAGGCTACGATCAGCTCTGGGGACGGCAGCTCTGTGCACCCGTTGACGATCGACGTCGACGATGAAGAATAAGACGTCGCTCCCGCCGCTCCCGCCCCCACCATATGGAGCATTAGCCGCAGCAGTAGCGGCCGCACGCCCTCTCCCTCGCCCTCTCCAAGCAACGAGGTCACTCCCGCCACTCCCGCCGTTCCCGCCCGGGGGGTGCAGACGCCTGACCGCCGCCGCCGACACCATTCCGTTCCGCTCCTCCGCTCGTCACCCGCGCCCACGAGGGTTGAGAAACGCCGGTCGTCGTGCCCGCCCCGCTTCTCCGAATAAAAGAAGGAGTAGATTGCCCATCTTTTCTCAGGCAGCCGTGGCGATCCTATCGTCATCGATTAGTACTGGGGTTGCTTTTCCTCCTTTTTCTTCTACTCTTTTCTTTTGTTTAATTTTAATATTTACTTTTTAATATCTTTCTTTTGTTTCCGGTTGTTTTGCTTGTTCCCTGCGGGATAAAATCCACATACCCATATTATTCCTCACTTTTCTTTCTATCTTCGTGCTGGTTGTATTCTCGTTCCATGTAATATTCTGGTTGATTGCCTTTGCTACCTGCTTACTTACCTAGCCCTGCTGCCCCCGCGACGGTGTATAGCCAGCTACGCACTCCGTGGTAGCAGCGGGGCATCACTCATTATCCCTAGCTCGCATTGGCGGTATCAGGACCTCAAGTTCTTACTTGACTGACTACATATCTAGCAAAGACGTAACCAGGCCACAGCACAAACCTTTCGATGTGCATAGAAGCGTAAAGCTTCCAATTGAGTATTATACTAACCCGCCTATGTGGCTAGCTACCAGCCTTCAGGGGATATAGGTATCGTAGCATTATGCTCCTTCTCCGGGCCACCGTCATTCATAACCGTGTCAACACAGCATGTAGCGTATAGCGCGAGCAACATGGCGGGATCGAGCCACCGACCATTCTCCTTCCCAACATCTCTTAAACTCTACGGCTGACTAGAGGCTACCGCTCGCTCTAGCACGCCGCATGGTACATATTGCCGAGCAACTGCGAGGAAATCCGAGTCCTGTCCCGACTCTCCAGCTCATGGAATGGTGAAAAATCCGTACGAATTTCAAAAGTTGCACATTTAGGAGGATAGTGTATCTTGAAACATGATTTGAACCATCATGGCTCACTCCGAGTCCCGTTGGCCTCGAGCGATCGGTGTTGGCAAAGGAGCCGTCTGCAAAGACGCGATGTTCTGTTTTCGAATGGGTGTTGTGGAATGAGTGGTGATGCCGAGCTGTCGCAAGTGCTGATGCTGGAGGGGGTTATATTGTCAAACATGAGGATGTCATCAGCAGTGATCATGGCTCAGTTGGAGCGAATTTCCCGCAAGGTGGAGGGTCACCAAGCCCAAGGTCCTTAGCTGTTACAAGGGTAGCAACCTTGGGGAGGACGCTCTTTTGTTGCGGTTCAATACCGGGTTGCTGCTTTCCCCTTTCTTTTGCGGAGGGGTGGCTACATGGTAGGTAGCTGGATTGTTGCTTCGAGGGAGGCTCATCACAGAATCATGAGAACTCATTCGCTCGCAGAGCACGTGATGTTTTGGAAAGGGTCCTCGCAAAAACAGCACAGCACAGCACCCTACGTGACAGTAACCGCAGCAGTTGCTTCGCTCCTATCCATCTATCCCGTGCGGCGTTTTGCATGTTTAAAGCACGATCCAATTTCGCGAGCCCGAACTGAAGCGAATGATATCTGATGACTCCTGCGGCGTGACTCAACCCTGCCCATTTCCCCTCCTCCCCCACCTTCCCTGCGCGCTCAGCACCAATCCCAGATGTCAACTCCCCAGTGCAGGTAGCAGCTAACTAAGAAGGTGTACGCCATGTCGTCTCCACGATGACTTCCATACCTACCTACCTACCTACCTACCCAAGTGGTGAACAAAGCCCCGAAGGCGACGGCGGAACTGCAGCTCCAACCCTGAGCCGATTGGGGTGTGATCATCAAGACGCAGCAACCATCACGGATCCAAAGCAACTTACACCACCGACGACGCCACCACATGCGCGGACGCGGCGAAGCGGCGAAGCGGCGACCACGAACCCCGACCACGTGCAGCAGCCGGCGCTACCGGGCCCCGAGCCGGCGGCGAAACGAACGCCGAGAAAGAGTCCCCCACAGCACCTGGCTCAATCATGGCAAGCGCGCTGCGCGAGCGGCAGCAGTGCATGTCGACGATTCGGCTACTAATAGTTACCTAGCAGAGCACAGCAGAGCACAGCAGAGCACAGCAGAGCACAGCAGAGCACAGCAGAGCACAGCAGAGCACAGCAGAGCACCAGCAGAGCACAGCAGAGCACCAGCAGAGCACAGCAGAGCACCAGCAGAGCACCAGCAGAGCACCAGCAGCCCCCACGAGTCACATCCGGCCTCATCCGCTGCGCATCGTGACTCCACCTTCCCTTCACTTCACGATCCACCGCAGCCAGGTAGGTAGGCAGACAGGTAGGCACGCAGGCCTAAGCTCCTCCCCCCAGAGTCCATCGCGCACTTTTGCGATCGGCACAGAAACAGCTATGTACATAGCTGCCAGAAGCACAACCGGTAGTAGAGTACGTGAGCGGTGCGCAGTGAGCACTACGTACATGCACAAGCCATCACTCTGTGCCATCACTCTGTGCCATCACTCTGCACCATCACTCGGCACTATATATCGCGGCACTATATATCGCTGCACTATCGCTGTGCAGCGCCGCCGTAGGTAGTAATCTGCCATGGTCTAGGTACCAAGGTCGAATGCACTGATGATTAAACAAAAAACAAAAAACAAAAACAAAAAAGCGCAGCCGCAGCCGCAGCAGCAGCAGGACATACATACATCAGTACTAAGCATCGACCTCTGTGCACAGGGTTAGTACTTCCATAGAGTATTGATGTGCACTCAGCACTCAGCAGTGTGCAGTGTGCATCCATCCGACTATTATTAGCTGCCGGGGTTGCATCGGCGGCGCAGCCGCGGCGCGGATCAACGCAAGGCTGCTTGAGAGGGAGAGTCAACTATCAAGCCCCTCCCTTCCTTCTTTCCCCGCCCCGCCCCGCCCGCCCCCACCTGTTCCCGACCGGAAATCTGACAACCACTTTGGTCCTCGAGGCGAAAGGTGACCAATTGTTTGCCGTGCTGTGTGGTGGTGCGTGCTGCTGGTTGCTACGTGCTGCTGACTGGTCAACCGTGGTTGGTTGTTTTGCGGACGGGGTGTGGTAGGGTGTGGTAGGGTGTGGTAGGGTGTGGTAGGGTGTGGTAGCACAGTACCGGCAAAAAAAAAATGTCATGCGGGGTGGTGGTGGTGGTGGTGGTGGTGAGTGTCGACTGTCGACTGTCGACTGTCACCGTGGAATCGGCAGGTGCCAGGCCTGACATAAGGTGTGCGCAGCGAGATCGGTAAGCATCTTGCCTGTTGTTTTTTGCGGTCGTTCGATTATGTCAACTATTCGGGGGCTGCGGCTGAGTAGGGTATGTAACCGAAAGAGCGAATGGGAAAGGTAAAGCCCATGTGCTGCGTGAATGAGGCCAGTCGGTCAGTCATCGGCGATGATTCGAATTTTGAAGTCACTTGCACGAAGAAGAAAGCCCAAAGTTTTTTGTGGAAACAAGATTCGATTCCGATTACTATGAAGGTAAAAACCACAATCAAATGAATGTCCCAAATCCCGCCCAGCCTCAACTCAACTCAGCCCGCCCCACTACCTCAACAAAAACCGTGCCAGCTTCGTCCCCCGTCCCCTTTTATCTCGCACAAATCATCAAACATTATACCATCGCCAGAAAATTAAATAGAAGCAGAAAAAGAAAACAAAAAATGCAAAACCGCTATATGATTAACCCCCAAACCCCCTATCCCGCCCAGAGTGTCCGATATGCCAAATGCGATGCTGAAGGAAAAAAACCAATAATGACTGTCCATTAGATGCTGTAGCCCTCCCATCTCCCTTTTTACTTCCACTCCAACTCCTCCTCTTCCTCCATAGTGCTGCTGACTACTCAGATGCGACGGCTGCGCATTTAGTAGTACTCGGCCTTCTTGGTGGTGCAGTCGGCGGTCTTGGTCACGTAGACGGTCTTGGCGTCGGCGTAACCCTTGGAGGTGACGGTGACGGTGGCAGTCTTGTAGACGGGCTTGGTGACGTACTCGGTCTTGACCTTGTAGTCGGTGGCAGTGACGGTCTTGTACTTGTAGTCGGTGGCGGTGACGGTCTTGTACTTGTAGTCGGTGGCGGTGACGGTCTTGTACTTGTAGTCGGTGACGGTGGCGGTCTTGTAGACGGGCTTGGTCACGTACGCGGTCTTGTACTTGTAGTCGGTGACGGTGGCGGTCTTGTAGACGGGCTTGGTCACGTACGCGGTCTTGTACTTGTAGTCGGTGACGGTGGCGGTCTTGTAGACGGGCTTGGTGACGTAGGCGGTCTTGTACTTGTAGTCGGTCACGGTCTTGTAGACGGGCTTGGTGACGTAGGCGGTCTTGTACTTGTAGTCGGTGACGGTCTTGTACACCGGCTTGGTGACATAGGCGGTCTTGTACTTGTAGTCGGTGACGGTGGCAGTCTTGTAGACGGGCTTGGTCACGTACTCGGTCTTGACCTTGTACTCGGTGGCGGTCTGGAGGGAATACTGTTAGCTATCTGATATCGGAATGTTTTGGGGGGTTTGAAGCGCGCTCACCTTGTACTTGTAGTCAGTGACGGTGGCGGTCTTGTACTTGTACGCGGTGACAGTGGCAGTCTTGTACTTGTAGTCGGTCTTGACCTTGTACTCGGTGGCCGTCTTGTACTTGTAGACGGTGGTGGGCTCGGCGTATCCCTTGACGGTCTTGTAGACAGTCACGGTCTTGTCGCTGTTACCGTAGTCTCCGTTGGGAGCGGCGGCGACGGACTGGAAGATGGCGGCAACGGCGGCGGCGGCGATGAACTTGGAGGCAACCATGTTTGCGGTTTTGGGGGTTGGTATTAAGGAGTTGGGAGTTGGAGCGAGTGTTGTAGAGGAGTGATTATCTAGTGAAAGACTCGGGGTGATGTATGAGGGATGAGGAGCGAAGGTGATTAAGAGACTATGAGGATGGAGAAGCTGATACCGAAGCTGGTGAGGAGAAGACAAACTTTGGGGAGCCGTCCAGGTGGTTCTTATACTGGACAATCATTCACGATGGCACACTGACCATCCCCCCACTCCAGTGTCTCCCATCATGCTAGGCTCTCCTCCCCCCGGTAGACCCAGAAGACGAAAATAATCCATGCAGTGCTGGCCAGCTCACATTCAATCAGCTGTAAGCCCGATGGATGGATTGGGGTGGGAGGGCTCGGCTGCAAACCACCGACCCGCCACGATAGAGGGTGTTTGGAGGGAAAAAGTGCTCATCCTCACTACTACTCTACGCATTGCTGCCTGTGCTGCAGTGTAGCGGTGCAGTACTAGGTAAGTCAAGTCAGTCCGTGTAGTCGACTCCGCCTAGCGCAAACATTGGGTCTGATCTACGCTAAGCCTCGAGATCCCTGGTAAGGCTCCTACCTACTACCGGTGGAGCCATTCGTCGGATGAGGCAAGGGGTGGTGTTGGGTGAATAACTTTGGCGGTGGTGGTGTCCAGGCAGTCACTCAGTTCAGTTATCCACTGTCCAAATGTCCATTATTGTCCCAGTCCGACTCGACAGCTGCTGCGGCCGGCAGTCAAGACCCCTTGTTCCCCTCCATAGCCCTGTCCGGATTCTGCACGCCTGACTGGTGCGATCGGTAAAAATAATATTCTGACGGCCAACTGGGCAGTGGTGGGTGGGAAGGTAGACACTCTGGATGGTTATCGTCGATACCTCCCTTCCCGTAAGCCGCTGCAAGGCAAAATGTAAGACAGACAGACACGGTACCTACCTACGGTCGGTGGCCCATGCCGCTGATGAGAGGATATATCTACTCTAACTTAGGTTCCTCCGAGGTGAATCAGACAATGCTCCAGCCGTCTGGTCGGTCGGTGGGTCGGAACAAGTTCTTCCTCGTCGTCCGTCTGTCTGTCTGACCGTCCGGACCACCTGTGAGAATAGAGAAAAAAGAAAGAAAGAAAAAAGAAAAAAAGAAGGGAGAAAAAAACACACATGCTCTCGTGTACTCTTCGCACAGCCGCGTGCTATAGTAGTATCTACTCTATTTGGTAGTCTCTCTCGACTCTCGAGCCGTGAAGCACCAGCAGTCCTCTGACCGCCGCTCATTTGTCGTCCCTCTCCCTCGCGCGACGCCGAGCATTGGAGCTCGATCAGATCACTCTCAGGGTTCGATTTAGAGGCCCGCAAGTGCCTCGCCAGGTGCTATGGTGCTCTGCTAGTATACCGAGTAGCAGTTAGTTGCTCCAGTAGCAGCGGCGGCGGGTGCTCTGTGGGTTTTCGCTCGCTCGTACTGAGCTCTGACGATCGGGTCGGGCCCCTTTCGAATTACGCGCAGGATTGAAGTCGCCCTGTACGGTGCTCTAGCTTGTAGGTACTTGGGTGGGTATGTAGGCACCGCGAACGTTCCTAGAGTATCCGGCTAACTAACTGACCAGTAGTCTCGATACCCAGGTACTCTATGAGTATCTCCATAGGGCCATAGGCAACTAATAGTACTAGTGTTCTGCTTCGCTCATCCGGTGCTCAATCCCGGGCCCTCCGGGGTGGGGGGGGAAGGGTTGTTCGATGTCGAGATTCGCCAATTACCGAACAAGCCCCCCCTCAACGGCCAAGTCGTCCCAAGTGCGGAAGCGACGTGGGAAACTCTCCAGCCACTCGCAGCCGGGCACTAACCCTGTTAGACCGTTAGTGCCCACCTACTATCGGCTCGACTTATTTTTAGGCGCAGCTTGATGTGGCGATGATTCCCAATTTCTAACTGGGGTGCAGTGGGCACTCAGAAAGTCGAGAACAGAACTGCTCTGCAATTCCCGGCATCCGCACTGGCCGACTCCAAACTAAACTATGAACAGTAAACACTGGGTGAAAAATTACGCGAGCCAGATCTGGAATGGGTCGGCCAGTCTGGACTCTGGACCACCACCGGTCTAACACCAGAATAGACGACAGCAGTGTTCGTGCCCAATATTCCACAGCGAACAAGTTAGTTATGTGGTGGAATACCCTGCAAGGAACCGTATAGCACTCTGCGTGAATGAACGTCCAGGGATGCTTTTGCTGGAAAGAGTGGATGGATGTGTGGCTAAATTCGCTGGGCGAGGGAGCCTGAACAGGCACTGGACAGCCAGCAGTTCCCCTCTGCTCACGGCACGTGGGGATATCGCTGTATCGGGGTAACTATCGGGGGACTCAGGGTGAGCACTGAGCCCCCAGCCCAGCCTATGGTATGGATATGGGGTCATTAGTTCCAATTTGGGGTTTGGGGGTGTGAGATCTTGGGAAAACGGACAGCACACCGTGGCTGATGCCACACGGCTCTAGTAGGTACTCTACTCTATTTTCTGCCGGCTGAAATGATGGGATCTAAGCTGAGCATGTATGTAGATATGTATGTATGTGGTGTAGGTACCTACTTCTTACCTACATGCCTTCTAGTTGGCTGGTGCGGTCATCGTCTTGTCATCGTCTTGTCAGCGGTCAGCGGTACTCAGCGGAGAGAGACCACCATCGTCAGATCATAGTTATCAATAACCAGCCTCCGTTCCCGTCGGCTGATTGGTGGACATTGCGACGATGGCATGTGTCATGTCAGCCACTGCACCGGCCGTCAGAAACGGAATTGCAAAGCCACGACGAACGAACGGTGGCGGGATAAATGGGGTATAGGTATACTACCAACCATACTATAACTACCTAATACATTCCTGGTTGCCTGATATCCACACACACAACGGCTTCTGAGATTGCGAAAGATGACAAACACACTGGCCCCCACCACCGAAATCACGCAGATGGTTATAGGCAGACTCTCATATCGATGCAGCGGGCTTCTGGAACTGGAAGAAGGCTGGGCTCGCGGGGGGAAGCTTGTTTGTTTCCCGGTCATCACCGGGGAAAGGGGGGCCTTGGTGCAAAGGACCATGCGCAGAGAGAGAGAGAAAGGGAGAGAGGGAGAAGGCGAGAGAAGCCGTCAAGCCATAGGTAACATAGATACCGCTACAGAACAGGCAAATGGATTGGATTCGGGGGATGAACCTCCCCGTCCAGAGTCCAGAGTTCGTACCCGCTGGAGGTGGAGCAGGAAGCACATGTAAACTCTGGAGTAGGCATCTCGATTCCGCTCGGATCACTGGCGGTCACTGATTGGGCCACAAAGCATACAGACGGGGATCCGATGCGATTTGTTCGGATCACCGCGGGGCGCTCGAGCGACCTCCTTGACGAATCAGGCACTCTCCCGCCCCCCCTCTCCCTATGGCATGTCCTCGAGCTGATCGGATCTCCCAGTTCAGCATCGATATCCCCCCTCGCTGCTTGTTGCTGCTGCTGCTGCTGCTGCATCCGGGGGAGCCGCGAAGAAACTTCAACAGAGTCGTCGTGCAGTGGTCCAGTGGATTCTTTTCGTCGCGCGCAGACAGGAGGCGCTGATTCGCTGGAAACAAGCGGATGAACGCCATCCATTGAGTTGTGTTCATAGGCATGCCGTCTAGTGCGAACTCTATTCGTAGAATCGCGTCGCTATAGTACCTATCTCAATCACTGCAGGTACCGTCACGGACGCCATGCCATGCCATGCCAGTCCATGCCCGCCCGTGGCCCGTCCGTGGGGTCAGTTCTTCGAAGCCTGGAGGCAATGCGCAATGTCGGTTGGAAGACACGGCATTGATTGCAGCATCGATTGATTCTGCACGGCACTGCACAAGCAGGCAAGCAACCAAGCGTGATGATGAGAAATGATTTTCTACAGCCGAAACTAAACTGGTTATCAGGTGCGTAGGTATCATATCTATCAACGTTGCCGCTTATCCCCCCGGGGTGCAGACAGACAGAGGAAAGACAGGGTGGGGCGGATGATGGCCGGAGAGGGTCTTTGAAAGGGTTGCTTTCTACTCTAGAACCACTATGCGATCGTTATCGAATTGTGGCGGAACGCGCAAAAAGGGGTTCGATAATTTCGTTCTGCACTCCCACTATGTATCCGCCCCCCTTCCCCTGAGCGTGGAGGCCACGCCCCTTCCCCGCCACGCCATATGGACTGAAGTTCGCGTCTAACGCGTTTGCACGTGGGGTGGGGGGCCTGGGGGGGCCCGGGGGGAGAAACATGCTCACCGAGGATAACTCCGAGAACCGGTTCGTAGGCATCCGCACTTTGCCTCCTATCGGGTACAGTAGTGCACCCATGATGCCTGTCCTGGCGCGCGCTGCTGGTGGTGATGGATGAGTGGGGCGAGGATCGTGGCGCGATGTACAGACCCACATACTCTAGAGTTGCCACTCACCTAGGCGCAGGGTGATCATGAACATCGAGGCTACGTGTACATACATACATATCATATCATGCGTCGCCTCGCCTCGCCACTCAAGATGCCATGTACAAGAACTTGGCCTGCTTAGTTACCCACGATAACACCGATGAATTTGCTGGGAGAACTGTTTCATGTAGGTACAGTAGGTACATAGTACCTATTCCACCGGTACATACCCCGCCGTGAGCCCTAGGTATCTACTACCTAGTACATCCCCTCAGCTATACTAGAGATCATAGTAGAGCCACATCCCCGCCGCTGCCACCTAGCGGCGTAGTAGGTAAGGCCGGCAGCTTTCCCTGTCTGCTGTTAGTTAAGGCCAGCGAGCGAGCGCGGCGTTGTCGGCAGCAGCCTTCTCGTAAGGTGCTATACATATGCCTACTCTAGTTACTTCTTTCTAATTAGTAGTTAGTACTCTTATGGGGGGGGGATTTATTGCTCAGAACCCCCAGTTGATGCGAGCCGAATGCTGCAATCTTAGCCGCGATTCCGACGGCCAGGCAGCAGTCTACTCTATGAGTTATCTGGGAGTAGTTGGTACCTACTTGCCTACGAACATAGTTACCAAGCAACCGGTCACTCTACATATCTGCTCTACAGACTCTACTCCATCGCCTCATGGCATGGCATGGCAAGGCGTGTAGAGCAGATACCGGCGAACCGACACTTTCGAATGGGGAATGTATAGGACGGCACGCCCGGACGGCCGAGTCGAAGGATGGATGATGGATTGACAACGCAAAAGACATTCCATTCCAATCCGTTCAGTTGCAACTTGCTGCCGCTTTTTTTCGTGGGTAGGTTGATGATTCGTCGCAGCATTTGTTTTTTTTCCCTTTGCCTTTTCCTTTTCTCGAGAACCGTCTCTCCCGATGATCAACACCGCATGATGTTGAGGATTCTTCAGGTGATGTGATTCGGATCGCCCGGAGGTCGCTCTGCGTACAGCGGCACGGCTCGGGGGATACATACATATGCTGCTACATATGCTGCTACATACATACATACATACGCACGGAACAGAACAGAACAGAACCAGGCCTTTGGATCGTGCAGCTACAGAAGGACGGACGGGCGGGCGGATGGCGGATGGCGGATAGATAGGCAATGGGCATCCATCCATCGCGTGCATGTCGAAGCAACTACATACCTGACTATGGCGATATCTACAGTGTACAGTACACAGAGGACCGGCAAATACAGGTTTCTCAATCAATGGGGACTCGGGAGGGAGGTGCGATCACCGCCGAGTGAGCTAGCTAACTACTATTCTGGATATTGCAGAACAGCAATGGATTATGGATACGTGGGTACATGATGTACAAGTTGTTTTTTCTTTTGGCCGCCACAAAAAATACGTCACGCATTGTACAGCAACATATCCTTGTATCCATGCATCGCGACGAGCTGGTTTGTTTTGTTTTTTTGTTGTTGTTTTTGTTTTTTTCTTTGTTTTTTTTTGCCCATATGGCGTGCTGGTGCCCAAGTCAGTACATACTTGATCTGGATACTCCAGGCCTTTCGCGGCATACACTTCAGAAAACATCGCGGGGAATCCCGCGCGGCCAGTCTGTCGTCGAAGATAGGTTGAGTATCTGGTTCGGCGGATACTGGATAGGTTTCTCATGGAACATTGAACGTCCAGCACGCGGGTTGAACTGAACTGAACTGAACGCCTCTTGACTCTCGACGTGGACTACTGATGTCCCTCTACCTGCCTACACCTACACCGAGACAGATACAAGACAGAAACAGAGACCTCTTCGCTACCCGCCTTCCATAGGGAAGCCAGAGCGTGTCGAAGATCTCTCTGAGTGTGATCGGGGGAGCCGGCTGCAGAATGTATGTGAGTATGTGAGTATGTATGTATGTGAGCACGGCTCGCACGTCGACCGCGGCTCGTCCCAATGGCCAATCTACACATGCTCTCTTCTCTCCAGCCATCAATCGCGCGGTGATGCGAGTGGAACGGCTATCGCATCATTGGTGCCATCCAAAAGTCACGCGCTGGGGGTTCAGTTCGGTGCTGTTCTACAGATGGGGTGGGAATAGGAAGTCGCGAATATAATTCTTCAGCCTCCGGCCGGTCTGACAGCCCGCGGCCACTCACCACCACTGACGGACAAACTCGCTCGCAGCCCAGCTCAGCCAGACAGACAGACAGCCAGACAGCCGTAAGGGTAAGACACTAGTATCTACCTTAGCTACCTACCGTCATACGTGCAGATTCAGAACATTCGGCCGGTATTTTTAGACGTGCTGCTGTTGTGTCACCCACCCACTGAGCGTTCATGCCATGCAGGCTGATGAAAAACAGTTCAACCTCCTCAGTAGGTAGGTAGGTATTCACTCTGCACTGCAGCATGTATGTAGGTATGTAGTGTATGTAGTGTATGTATGTAGTGTATGTACTCCACGGAGGAATACATTTGCCGGCGCCGCGGTCAAGAGAGAGAGCGAGCGAGCGAAAAAATGCGAGTACGGCAGCATTCGTTGGGAAGATGGGGGGAGCGTTTTGTCCATATAAGTCTACCCGCCCCCCGACGAATACAAACCATAAGTCTCAGACAATTATGTAGTGTACGTACGGGGCAAGAAAGAAAAAAAGTAATCAAATAAAACCAGAAAAAAGAAAAAGCAAGAAAAAGACAGAACGGATATAACGCCGTGTCCACGTCTCTCTCCGAACAACGTAAACTTTTCTGAGATTTCAACAAAAGACCCGTCTGTAGAGTTACCTTGCTCAGCAGTCGAGTAGCTCCAGGAAGGCGGGGGTTGGCGGTAATTGCCGAGCTTTTGCAGGCGCGGATTTGCGATGCCATGGTTGGGTCGGTGTAAACGAATATGTAGTGTACATACATACATCCATTCCTGCCTCGCCATGCAATGCAAGAAGAGTTGCGAGCAGGAAAACTGGAGCTGAAAGAAATCCTTAGATGCGCATGTACCGACTTTGTAATAAAGTTTCTTACGAATCATGTTTCCCCCCCGCGACCCCCCGCAGGAATCGACGCGGTGTATGTATGTAGTTGTAGTAACCCTCCACTGCTTCCCGCGGTGGCTGCAGGACTCGCCACGGACGATCACTCGGGCTGCGTTCCCGTCCTCTACTGCCGGCCAGATCCAGATGTAACCACGCAAGGAAGCAAGCAAGGCTAGCGCAGCCTCCCTCGGCGACGAGGACTCCTCCCGTCATCAGCCCGAGGAAGACCCTGGCCATTCCCGGAGCTCCTCCTCCTCCTCAGTGGGCTGACTGCAGCTGGACGCATCTGCTCATACGGTACATAGATCGATAAGAAACCTTTTCCAGTCATGGCGATCGTGAATGCACACATTTCTCCTGTGCTCCCTCCGCGCGCGGATTCGGCCGCATGCGTCTGCGAATCCACCGTGAGCGCACCCATTAGCAATCACCGATAACTAACGGACGGACGGTGCCGGTTAATCTTGTCCCCCCCGAGGGAGTTGTGGATTCGGTGCTATGTTGCAGTGCGTGGTCACTGCTGCTGCTGCTGCTGCTGCTGACACTCTACCGCCTTACTATTCACAGGATCTTGCTTGTGCATCGAAGGGCTGAGACGGAGAGACTGAGAGAGACCGATTATGCGCAGAGTATGAGTATGTAGCAGCACAACGTTTCGATTCGGCCAGTGAAATGTATGTGCGTGCAGTACATGTGATCTCACTCGCGCTAGCCGACTCCCCTCAAGTCAGCTCACAGAAGTTGAGATGACGTCCATTCGGCGATGGGCGAAACTGAGCGCACTTTCAGCCGTACTGTCTTGGCTTGGATACAAACAGTCGAGGATTACCTGATACGGTTTGCCCTGATGGTGGTGCTGGTATACATGTATCCTGCTTGTATCTCCCGAGTACCTACCTATCCACAAAGATTCCCTGAGAATCGAGTGGGTTCGCTGCAACTTGCACTTCTGACCCGCACTGTTACATTCCGACCAACCGACGTGCAGCTCCATTTTGAGTTTTCGCCCCGCACTTTATCGCGGGAGTACACTTGCTATATCTCTAGCTCGCCGTCGCCCTGTTGCATCGTGGTAGGATCATCGGATTCGCAGCCGGAACCATCGATTCCCACCATGGTACTACCACCACTCAGGTCCCAAGCACATCCTCTTACTCGCCAGCATGTCCGAATGATTTCCGGTGATCCCGATCCAGATACAATTCCGTCACTTTCCCGCACGAGCAAAAAAAAACCTCCTCGCCCTTGCTGAATCTACATACTTCCGATCCATCTGCTGTCGGCTTGTTGTTTATCTTTTCCATTCCACTCTGCTCTACTCTGCTCCACTTGTATACACACATGTAAGCTGTTCCTGTTTTCGGTACCAATATTCTGATCCAGGCTGTCGCTAATTATAGCTGTAGGCTGAGCTAGCCTCTAGGAAGTGGAACCTTACTACTTAGCGGCTCGTCAAAACGCCAGCATTCCCAGACCCACGCATAGGAGTGCAAACGTCGCCTCCTGATCCCGTCCTGACAATCTGTCAGTCAGTCAGGCGTCCACAATCATTCCTTGTATCGTTACAATGCTTACGGACGTCGGACAGCATATACACATATATACATAGCCGAAAGCGTCCTGCTGATCATCCCGGGAGTCGGAAGGGAAGAGAAGCGAGTCGCGACACGATGGGGCCTGGAGGCTGAAGCCGGATGCCAAAAAGGGCATTTATCAGCCACCAATTCTCGGCTCGTGATCACGCCTAACCTCGTGTTGGATATCCATCGGGCTTGATCGATCATCGGACAATAGAATGTGGCAGATCGTGGATTCTAAAATATCTCCGGTATGCAAGCCTTGCCTGGGGGCTGGCAGTGGCGTTGGGTAGACGCCATTTCGACACTTCCTCGCGTGTCGCGGCGTCTGGGATGTTCGGACGCCGCCCACGGCCACTTGTGTCATCACTCGCTCCTTTGGGATTCCGTCGGTCGGCGCGGACTTGGATTGCGTTTACTCAACGGCTAATAACCGAATTTCTCCGGTAAAAAAAAAGTAGACACGGAATTCAGAGTTTACCTACCTACGTTGTCCCGTTCCGAACAGTGATATACCGGTATCGGGCTGATGGCTTGCGGGATGACTGGTTCGTCCCAGACGCTCAGCATATAGTAATATCCACAAGCGTAGAATTCCTTCCATCCCCGACCCAATCATGTACTCTACATACAAGCTACGGAAATTCCCACTTTCCGACAGTACCCATCACAATGTCTCACTCCGCCAAGCCTCCGTGGCGCCGGCCTCATGTGGCGCAGTGGTGCAGGAATCTCCAGTATCTAACTAAGTACGATGTTATGCCGTTACACGCATTGATCTGTGCCTCCCCGTCCGTGCTGATGCTGCATATATCCTGGCCGGAATGCTTAACTCAACCCCAGGTCTCGGTCTCGGTTTCCCGCGCCTCGGTGAGTAATGTTGTGCTAGCGGCTATCCGCGAGCGGCTATTGGGGCCCGAGAATGTCAGTTGGAAATTGGTGATACTACTGTACGTAGCTAAGTATATATAACCAGCCTTTGTCCCTCAATCTACGTCGTCATCATCATCATCATCGGCCAACTCTTCCTTCCTTCTTTCTTTCCTTCCTTCCATACACACAGCCATCATAATGCACGCCACACTGTCTTTCCTCCTCCTCAGCCTCTGCACCGTTTCCACAACCCTCGCGGCCCCGGTGGCCAGCACAGGCCGACGGAGCGATGCCACCACCATCATCTGCGACACGCACGCAGGCTCCCCACTCCTCACAGACGCGCTCCTTGCCACGGGCACGCTGGCTGCCCGGACGAAGTGCGCAAAGCCGGCAGCGCCGTATTCCACCACAATGCTGAGTCTGTTCTCGGCGAACCTGAGCCTTGTGTGAGTCGCTGCATCACGAGTGTTTACGTACATAGAACACTGCTCACTGACCGTGCGAACAGCGGCGACGAAGAGTGTGCCATTGACTGCGCCCAGGCCGCGGAGATGCTGGCGCGCGTGGCGGAACAGTGCCAGACTATTGTCGATGGCGAACTTAGGACCGGGGGCCGCGTAGAATACACGCAGGGCACGTTCCTGAGATTGGCGTATGATAATTGAGGGTAGATCGGTGGTGGTTGGCGGCGCGGTGGATGTACTTGTATGATGTCTTTTGCGGCGTGGTTCCGCGTGCATGTATGTGTATGATATCCTCCGAGGACTGGTTCCCCACGGGACGTTTGTTGGCTGGCTAGGAATCAAAAGACGTCCGGCGTATATACGTGATTGCCGAGCGATGTAGTGCGTACTGTGACGGATACTATCATACCTAGACTACTATGAACACTGAACAACCTGGCTACCTACATTCAACCGGGAATTTGAAAATCACCCACGTTGAGTCCATCCGAGGTATCTTCGTGATGTTATCCAGTACTGGCTACATTTGATCGACACTCTGAGCGAGAGCTCCCTGAAAGACTCACTTCCTTCCTTCGGGTCGTGGATGGTTCTGTTACGGGTTGACTTAGAGTTTGTTGTTTTCCGCCTTACAGTGTGCATGGAATGTCACTCGGATACAGAGTGATAGCGTGTGATCAAATGTATTATTTCGTCCGAAGAACCTGTGTATATTTGCGCGGGCTAAGCTCGTGAGCTTAGCATCTAGATCTGCGGATTGTCAAACTGAGATGTACATACGATCGGGATACATATACCTTGGATACCGGGAGCTAATGGGAAGATTGGAAGATCACAGAGCAAGGGAGTGAGGAGACGCGAAATGAAGAATCGAAGGTGCTGGGGTATTGGATCGCCGTCATCGCGTCGGCTACAAATTAGACTTGCAGCTATCCACCCCATCCCAACTCGCTAACAGTACATGTACGAGGCCTTCTCATTGCATCATACCGTGCCCTCCGGAAGCCGAGCCCTTTAGAACGGCGAGGATCGCTCTGGTATTATCCTTAATCTCGTCCATTGCTTTATCAATCCGCTCGATACAATCGGCAATCCTCGCCATATCCGAGCGCTCGAGACGTGGTGGCTGCGGTTGCGGTTGCGGTCCGACGCTGTGATCTGTAGCATTTTTCAGTATCTTCATCCTCGGATCTGTCGGTGCCTGCAGCACATGCGCGATTTCCCGCTCCATCTGCCCATCCAGCCCCCTCTGCTCCATCTCATCGCGATACTTCTGTGCCCGTCGTCTCGCTTCGGCTTCGGCGAACTGTTGCCTCCATCCTCGAGGCCTGGCTTGCCTCAGCGAAGGAGTGGTTGCAATACTCTTTTTTTTTGCCACTCCTCGTGTAACGGTTCTTTGAGGAGCGACCGGCGATTCCTCGTCTTCCGTGTCTCCAGTATCGTCTTCACCGCGTGCTGCATCACGCATACCCACCGCCTGAGCCGTAGACATTTCCGAAATCCGCCGTTTACGCTTGAGTCCCGTCACGCCCCTACCATCACCACTCTACGCGTCCCCATCAGCTCCACCACCACCACCTGCTCTCCCACCCCTTCCCCGCGCCCACCCAGGTTCCCAACGCGTAGTAAAATACACACCTCATCGACCCGTTTCTTCCAGGCCTCCATGCACACTCCCAGCTCGCCGGTGCGTCCCACGCCGGCAATATACATATCCAGCAACTTCCTAACCATCTGGCTCGGATTCCTCACGTCGCGGCCGGTCTTCTCGCTTGCCAGCTGCGCGATCTTCTCCCAGAACGCGCCTCGCCCGCCCGGAACTGAGTACTCCGCCCCGTGCTCCACGCACATCTTCATGATCTCGAGCTTTTCCGGCTTCGTCAGCCGCACGCGCATGTTTTCGCCGCGGGCGCCCGGGGTGCGCGGCGGGTGGGGGCCGGTGAACGAGGTGGTGGTGGGCATCGCGCTGGCGTACGTGAGTGGGTACGGAAAAAGATCGCGTCGATGTTGCGCACGTGGTTACATAAGGACTCGGCTTGTGATTACCTAATTGAAGCGCACGGTTGCTATGGGAACGGTGGGATCGCGGGTGATCCAACCCGAGCGCAAGAAGCTGCACCGAAAGACGATAACTATTTTTGTCTCCATTCTACCGCTTATGTAGACAATTGAGACCGTTCCGGTCAGGATCCTTTCCTCGTTTCGGAACGTTCTGGGGGCATACCAAATCGACGTTTCCGAGTGATTATTCATGCGTACGAAGCGTCAGATGGAATCGAACAATCAAGACGACGGGAATAAATGTGGAGATGATGAAAACTACTACATAGTGCACAGATATGGAGCTTTTTTCAGAGCCCAGCCAAAGGCTTCTGGGAGAGACGGGCATACAGCGCGAGTGACAGCTGAAGAAGCGCATACCGGGATGTTTCCTGCCATTTCCTCGCTCGCAAGCAGTAACGAATGCCATAAAGCGAGCCGGTGAACGTGTGCTCTGCGATTGGATCATTGAAACCGTGATAAAACGACTCGAAGTGAATATCTATCTTCAGCCCCACGTTTGCAACCTGAAAGCCAACGAAAAACATCGTATATAAGAAGCCAAAAATTCCCTGGCGCCGCCGAAGCAGGCCAGGAGCAGTCAAGGTTTAGTTTTCAACCAGCAAAAACCAGCTCTCGGATTAAATCCTCACTGAGACTTGTACTGCCCTTGCACTAGGATGGAGAAGAAAGACGGAGGTGCGGAGGGGAGAGGGGGGTTTTATAGGTGTTGTGGGGCGCTAGTGCGGGTCGAAAATTGGCCGACGGGGTCATTGTTCGAGTGATACCTACTTGAAAGCTCATACAAAGGCATCTGGGAGGGACGGAGCATACCACGCGAGTGAAAGTGGATGATCCGACATGAAGCGGCGCACACCTGGATGTTTCCCGCCATTTCCTCACTCGCAAGCGGTATTGATTGCTATATGACAGATTGAGGCGTCCGGAGCACATGAAGGATTTCTCCTCATGTCCGCTGTAAGGCGCTAGAAATGGTGATGTTTCAAGGAGCACTGTTTGGAGGAGTCAAGAACTCGGTCATACGAACTATATCCGGAGAAGGAGATGTGTTCTCACCGGCGGGTCTATCTCCTGATGGCAGACAAATTCTGTATATATAGAAGCGCACCGGCCCGTAGTAAACGAAGAAGCAAGCAACAAAGCAGTCACATTTTCCTACCTATCCTCCTATCGATCTCAGTAGATTCGACAACTAAAAACCATGGAGACGCCGGGAAGCAGCCGTGGATCGAGAGTGCAGACCACAATCGATTAAGAAGCCGATGTCATCCTCTCGCACAGCGGCCAGAGCAACAACATTTGGCCAATGGCGCATGCATGCCTCACTGCATGCATGGCCAGAGGAAAGACCTTTGCTCTGAAAGGAAGAAGACCTCCGTGTATAACGTGGGGGGGTAGTAAGCCAAGTTATACGCGTATAACTTGGGGCGGTAGTAGACCAAGTTATACCTTCTTTGGGTTTTTTGTTTCATCGTCACGAAACCGTCTGTAGCCCGGTTTGGAGATTCTTGGGCCTTGACCATGCATGCGGCATGTCTCTCACACATGTGGCATGCATGGCCGGGAGGAAAGACCTTTACCCTCTCACAGCAAAGGAAGAAAAACCCCCGCGTATAGCCTGGGGGGTAGTAGACCAAGTTATACTTTGTTTTTTCTTCCTCGTCAACACGAAACCGTCTGTCACCCAGTCTCGGAGAGGCCATCCAACGGGGGCAAGTCGGCTCTCACCCGACTTGGACCCCCGGAGGAAGGGGGAAAGAACTTTGCCGGCAGCAGAAGAGAAAACCCCGTCCTTGGACCTTTTCTACTCAGCCTCGAGGGTTAGATGCGTCTATTGTCGCTGCAACCGTCTACTTTGTAGACAGGTTGCACGGATCCCTCAGTTCCTCGCTGCTACGGCTGAGCAGGATAGCTCTGTAAGGTTATCCTGGAAGTAAAAAGAGGGCGGGGGGAGAGAGCACGTACCTCAAAGAGTAGGCCTCGGGGCCGATATCGGACCGTGAAAACTAATCATAAGTCAGTAGCATGAATCAACAAGTAGGTGGTCTCGCACGGGAAAGAAGAGGAAAGGGTTCATGTATGGGTACTGATTGTTCTGGATAGCGGTTGGTTCTGGATGTGTGGAGGAGAGGGAGGAAGAGTTGGTAGGAAAGGTGGAATTTTATAAGTGAAGTGGGTAAGATTCCAAACAACCACTGCTAGCGCACTAGCCGCGACTCCAAAGCTAGCTTTTCAGCAAACAACCGCTTCATTCCAAGGTGTCGGCATGTGCTTGGCATCACTCGAAGTCACTCGAAGTGCGAGTGAGTATTATTGAATACGATCCCACAGCGCGGAACAGAGACAAACGTGAGATGGTGGCGAGCACCTTTGCTACTCTCCATATAAACTCTTCTAAGAGAACGCATGTGTAACTTCCACCATCAGCACTTGCTACAACTCGGCATCACCACTAAGTCCACAACGCCGGTTCTAAAACAAAAACATCACGTTTTTGCACACGGCTCTTTCTTTTACCAACACCAACTCTATGCTGCCGGCGGGGTTGAGAGGAGATACAGCGCACACAGAAGAAAGAGCAGATAGAGGTTGAGCATCTAAGGTATTCTGTAGAGAATCATGAGAGAGAGCGGCCTCTCGGACAGCTTTTCAGGCTGAGTTCACTCCCCCGCTGGCTGCCGTAATAGTTACCATCCATACTCCCTCCATCCGTTTTCTCTCGCCGAAAGCTTTTTTTATTTAATCATCTTAAAATTCGACCTTGGTAGATCATGGTTGTAGTACACATCCGGTTCCGCCCTACTGTCTCCGACCGCTAGCTGTGAGCTCGATACACGAGAGATCCTAGGGAAATAAACAGATATAAAAGGAGAGAGAGAGAGATAAATATGGAGATATAAAGAAAGCGCTTAGAAACCTGGCTCCCATCCTTCCTTCTTCCCTAGCACTGGCTTAGGACAGGTTCAGGTAGGCACAGGGATTGTGTGAAAGTTATATACCATGAGAGGTTGTTAGAGTTCATTTGACGTTGTGAGATCCTGCTTCACAGCCACACATCTGCACCCCGGCGCGGCTGTGTGGCGCCATGCCGCCGGCAGTGTCCTAGCGTCCCAGTCCATTCCGGGCCCTGTAGGGTACCCGTCCTCACTTCGCCAGCCCGGAAGACTATATTCATTGTTCTCCTCAGCCCTACTAATCCCTTCCCGTCTCGGGCAACCTCAAAGACGGACTGGACGGACGGTTGACCGCCCTGGGCGGAGTAGGGAGAGGGGGCGGAAGGTGTCTTTTCCTAGTGTCATTTTCTTGGTGCATTCTATCTTCATTAAGGACACAGGCCGTGGCGGAGGGTATGGAAAGCCACACTGGGCCGCTTGATGAAAGTTGGGTTGGACAGTGATGTGGAAATGGAGTGTGTATGGGTGGATATTGCCATGATCTAGATACGTCGCATGCAATCAATCATTCAACAAAAAAAAGGACTGGGTAAGCTGTACTCTAGTATGTACGACCCGTGGCGTAGCAGCCTGCAGGTAGCTGGACTCTAGCTTCGGCGTCTCCACGCAGTCACTCGCATCGAGTGACATATAGACAACCACCCGTTCCTATTCACGAAACTCAATTCCCACCAGTCAGACATGTCCAGAACCTCATGTAACGTCTCCTCCGTCTTTTCCTTCACACATATCATCATTCTTGGGCGAGTCTCAGCGCATATGTGTGCCGAGGCGTGCCGAGTCGTTTTCTGGCGGGGATCATGGGATGGCCTACCTATAAAACCAGCGAGAACTCGTCATTATCTCTTTCTCTTCTTCTCTTCTACACATCACTTCATCATCCTTTCTATCCTCCTCATTTACTCATCGCTCTCTCATTCTCAAGACCAACTTACTCGTCCTTCTCTCCTACACATTGCTTCCTCGCCCTTCTTCCCCTCTCTTCCTCATCACTTCGCCATCCTCCGCCATCCTACTCGACATCCGGTTGATCAGGTGAACTGACTGGCGGTTCAATCGAATGGGCAGTTCAATAAATCAATCGGTTCGGCACGACGAATCAATGCAACTTTCTCCCTCGTCTCCACTTACTATTCGACTACTGGATGAAGGGAGCCTAACGAGACTACGGACGTGAATACCCTGTGGGGGGGGCTCCAGCAGCACACCATCTAACTGGAGGTAATCACTACAGTCACTATACCATCTGAGACTCACCGTGGCCCGGTACACTAGCTAACTACTCGCAGCCTCCGGCCGATTCTCCCTGATCACTCGCATATTTTGTCTGAAAGATAGCAGCGGCACACACGTATTACATCGCAACGAATTATCACGTACGTATATGAGTACCTAGTACGCTGCGACCAAATCCGGTATCACGACCATCAACCAACAGACCTTCCCCCGCGCCCCGCAGAATCAGACTTCAGTAACCACAACGACAAGTTCATAATGACGAGGGTCATAGACGGAGATACAGGTAGTGCCTCGACTCTCGACGGGTCTAGACGATACTATAGGCGCTCTGCGGCTCGCTGATCGGGGAATCCTGTGAAAGTTCGAAGTTCTCGAGTGATGAGATATGAGGTGGTCACCTCCAGCAAGCAAGCACACTCGATTTTGCAGGGTATATTATCAGAGATCTACTGTGTCCTTCTCACAGCGGAGTCTCCTACTCCCATGTGCCACACCCGGGAAGCATAGGTAGGTAAATGGTTGGACCATCTCAATGACCGGCGCCGCAGTGTATCGCCAGAAATCGGTAGTTGCAGCGTAATCTAGTGGAAGTATGTAGTGGTTATATCGCAGCCCGCGGACTGCACAGTGCAATTGCGGAACCGAGTGGGCTTCGCGGCGAGTAGGCAAGTCCGGTAATGGTGCTAGTGGTGGTAGTAGTGGTAGTGGTGGCGCCTGGCAGGCTGGCAGTCGAGGGATGGGGTCCTCGATAACGGATGGGTTAGGCGCACATACGAGAGAACGATGGTACTATGCGATCTTCGGCACAGTGTAGCCGCTGGAAATAAGGAAGCAGCTAATAGAACGAAGGAGATGTCCTTGGTGGTGGTCTTGACATAGCGGCTGATGGCAGTAGTAGCGGATGGGGCGGGAGTAAGTGTAGAGGGATGAGGGGGTGGAGGGATTCTCAAGGCAAGAGCAGCAGGGAAGAAAGTATTGGGTAGGAGTCTTGCTATTGAAGTAGAACATCTTTACATGATGTGGGAGATCTCAGGATCTCAGAATTGAAGAAAGGTCGTTGGGTCAAGAGTAAGTTTCTCGCATAGGAGCTGTTTAAAGCATGGTGAAGAAGAAGAAGATGAATCAAGGGAAGGAGTAGGTTGAGTGGGAGGATTGGTAGGCCACACGGGTTCATAAACTCCCGTCGCTATTTCCCAGCTCCAAAAAACTCCGATATATCCTAGTGGTATATAAGGGCCTGTCCTGTGCGGGCTTCACCGGTTCAATTCCCTGAATGGAGTTTCCTGGAAGACTCACCTCGAGGTGGAAGGTTTTTTGTTGTGGGCTTGCTCGGAGTTGCTGTTTTTTTTTTACGCTGGTATACATGCGACGTCACTCGGTGATCGAGTGACGGTCCGTGGAGAAGGTAGTTGTATTCGCCTACGAGAAGAATTTTGCTGAAGTCTGTGTATATCTATCTTTGAGCATGCTACTCATTCTTGCCATCGAATCCAGCCGGGTCGATTGCCACTGACCGAGTGTGTGGCTTAGATGAATCGTCCGAAGCCAACCGACATTCCTCTAGAATGAGCAACTTTCCTCAAACCCGCGCGTTCGTCACAGCCAGTTCCCGTCTTAGTACCGGTACATAGCACCCATCCTCCTTGTAAACAGCAAAACCCTCCACCGTTTTACTACCAACATTGGTGCGTCTTCCGCAGCCCAAACTATTCTCGCCAGCGCAGAAGGAAGCGCTCCCGGAGAGGTCGGTCGCCAGTCGTGCCATTTCGCATTCATTGATCGACGACAATAGTTTTCTTCTCGCTGTTGCTATGTACTTATGTACCGTCAGATGTGCAACTGTATGTAGTAGGCAGAATATCCTATCCTATCCGACAGACCCTAAGCTCGAGACGCCCCGACAACCGCGCCGCACCTCATACTATAAACAAGGAGACCAGGGTAAGATCCGCGATACAAGATCGCTCGAGTCGCGGAAGCCAACTCGGCCGCTGTCTTAGAATAGGAATGCACCGTGGGCTCTGGGGTGATATCGAGCCTGTTTCCTGGTTCCTCCGCCTGGAATATCTACATATGTATCGCGGCCCCAACTAGGTAGTCTGGGAGTTCCGGAACAGTTCATAGAGTAGATGCTCGTCTCCAGAACGAGCGATGGTTGGAGCATAACTGGTCCACAGTTTCGACTCTTGAGGACGGCGCGTGGCTGGTATTGATGATTGATCCCGTTGGGGCTGGGAAGTAAACGTGCGATAATGCTTCATAGGGGAAGCTCCGCTGGTAATGAGTAGACCCATAGAGTACATCTACACGGCGCGGCAAATGTCATCATAAGGGTACATAAGCCGGTGCGTATTTACATACCAGTTAGACCTCCAGATCTCAGAGCAGTATCCCAACGCGAACGCAGTCTACGGCGCAGTGTCGGGTGCCTATATACATAAACCCATTAGTTACATACTCCTACATATCTAGATGCATTACTTACCAAGTCCCAAGTCCCTATGTAAGTCCCCAAGTCCCGAACTCCGCATCCCTCCCCCGCCAAGCGCCCAAAATCCGGGGTGAAAAAACGGCGCAACCCTGTCCGCCACTAGAGTATATAGTTACCGCATCACCACCGCACCACCACCGCACCGGGTATGCATCGGAGCATTGACTCTTAAACTGAGCCTTGACTCTTGAGGACTCTAGAGGCTTCGCTAGATATTTTTATTTTTGGCGGGCGGGGACGGGGAGTTGAGGGCGGGGACGGGCATCGGGGACGGAAGGTTCTCGGCCGGCGAGCATAGCGTTCTAACTACCGGGATTCGGCAGAGGGATGATCCGCGGGGGTAGGCGGGGGTAGGTGCGCACGCACGATGCGTTCGCAGCGGGATGAGGTTCCCCGTGGGGAAGGGAAGCTTTACTTCTTTACTTTCTGTAGTAGGTATGACAAATATCTGGACCGACAACATGCAACGACAACGACAACGGCAACGATGGCAGCATTCTTTTGCATTCTCTGGCAATCAATACGCAGGGAACATGCGTTGATGCGTGAAACCGGGCGAAAGGTGCCCTTCGACCGGGCTGCGTGGGGTCCGCGCGGGTATGCGAGTATGTAGAGTATCCGGATGACCGCAGGCAGAGTGCACGCTCTGTCACTCGAGCACGGTGCTGTGTGCGAGAGTCTGGGATGCGAGAGATGTGTATAAACAAGACGTGTATCATCATCTGTATTGAATCCGGACGCCGCCGACAGTCGACTTGCATGGAGCTCGAAACGAAACAACCATGCCACTGGACCTGTCACTCCAGTAACAAGAATCGTATCATACCGGCATTCAGACGGGGCGGTGTGTTATGGTGTGGTGTGATCGCCAAGTGTGCGGGCGGACATCGGTCTCAGTGTTCGCCGACGGTGGGCCGTTGGCGGCGGCAGTCAAGACTCAAGATGAAAAGAAAAGGCCAGTTCCCGCTCCTTGCCCTGCACCGGCAACTTAAGACAGATATGTACCGGTATGTAGCGGTGGCTGTTCTACACGTTCAGATTCCGCACTGGCAACGGCAGTGGGAATGGCGCCTGTATTATACACATCACCATCTATCTGCTGGAAAAAATATCGGCAGAAGTCATCCGCAACCAACTATAGAGAGAGCCCATACTCTTTCCATCATTCGCTCGCTCGTTCCACATGCCCCGGATAATCTTCATGCACATGCTAGCCAGGTCCGCAGTGTCGGCCCCCAGTCTCGCACTCCCAGCAGTAGTGTAACGGCGGGGAAGCTTGGGGATGTGCTCCGTAAATAGCGGGGTTGGCTCGAGTAAATCACGCATGTGCTTGCGCAGCGCAGCGCGTTGGATAAATGATAATTCCTCGAGCTAGAGTACCTAGAGAAGAGGAAAGAAGATGATAGCAGTTGTGATATCTATGTAGGCAGAGGAGTGTAGATATCGAGAACTCGAGATAGAGTACGATACGGTAGGTACGGATAGTGATGATAGATAATTCCCGTCTCACGATTGGCCGCGGGTGAGATAGATACGAGGTGTTCCAGAAGCGCGGCAGAAGCCCATCCTCCGCCGAGGGTCCGGGCAGCGCCAGCCATCCTGGGAAACGCAGCAATCAAACCGGCAAAAGAGAGGGGACAAAGAAAAAGAAAGCTCCGGATTGCATGATGAGGTTTGGGCAGAGATGTGATGAAGAGTTTTTCTTCTTCTCTTTCTTCCTTCGATGGGAATGGGGCGAGTGGAGGAGAGGGAGAGGGTGGACGCGCCTCGCCCGTGACAATGGTGTCAGGCCGGCAGAGTCTTGGCCGTCATCGTTCGCGGACCGTGACCATACCGCGCGACCTCGACTCCCCAAGACGTAAGCAGACATTTGGAAGCCAGTGGTGATGGAGAATGCCCGCTCCTAGCCCTCGGCCGTTGTCAGATGTCGGGTCGGCTGTCGGTCGGCACCATCAACGCTGGTCCTCGGGCCAGAGTACAAACTTGAGGGCAGTTACATATCAATAAAGTCGCTCGTCCGATGCTTTCCCCTCGCCGTTCTCATTCCTCAACTCCTCAGACCGCAAACGAAGCAAAACGTAATACCAACCTTTGAGTCTCCGCTCTTTCGCCGTCTTCGATCCTATCCACAGCAGCAGAGCATCGGCAGGTGAGTTGATCGTTCTTCTTGGCCAACCTGGCCCTGCACTGGCGGTGGAGTTGCATACTGCGTGCGCGAGGCAAGCATCCATAGGCTAACTGGGGGTGTGCCATAAAAGGACATCTAGAGCAGCAGAGAGCTTTGCGAGTCGTCAGCATCAGCAGTTGACCATCTTGTCGTATTCGAACGGGCCAGCGGAAGAAAAGGGGATAGCATTTCACAGAAGCAGAAATTCGAAAGGATACTCGTACGGACGACCACGGAGCGAAGAAGCAGAAGGAGAGGAAGCCGTAGTTACTCTACACGAAGCGTCACTGCGTCAGTCAACTTGCCAGGACGGGACACAGCTGGACCGCCCTAAGCCAAAAGCAAAAAAAATAGACCATCCGCCGGAGTACATAATAACCCCGCCATCCGCCGCCGCAAAAATGTCACCACAGAGCCAACGCTCCTCCCCTCCAACTTCCCCCTCTACCTCCTCCTCCCTCCCGAAGACTCGCCTCGACTCCATCCAGAACCACCTCTTCCCGAATCTCCCTATGTCTGCGTCCGCCTTCACCACCGTGCCTCTGGCACCTGCCGACCCTCTTTTCAGTCTCATCGCCGCATACAAGGCTGACACCTTCAACAAGAAGGTCGATTTGGGTGTTGGAGCGTACCGCGATGACCATGCAAAGCCGTGGGTTCTTCCCGTTGTCAAGAAGGTCTGTCCATTCGCCTCTTCCAACTCGTTCATGCGCACTCGCAAACTGCGATTCAAAGCTGATTGTCTTTGTTGGATCTTAGGCCAATGCAATTCTCTACAACGACCCAGACCTCAATCACGAATACCTTCCTATTGCCGGACTTGCCACTTTCACAGCTGCTGCTGCGCGATTAATACTCGGAGCCGACAGTCCCGCATTGGCAGAGAAGCGGGTATGCCTCCCCCATTCCTGTGCTATCACCGCACCCAACCCCGCTAACCCCGCATCGTAGGTCACTTCCGTCCAGACCATCTCCGGCACCGGAGCGTTGCATACCGGCGGCCGCTTCCTCGCCAAGTTTTACGCGCGGCCCCAGAACCAAGCCGTCTACCTCTCGAATCCTACATGGGCGAACCACAAGCAAATCCTCGAGAACCTTTCCCTCCCCGTTGCGCAGTACCCGTATTACCTCCCGACCACCCGCGGCCTCGACTTCGCTGGACTCACAGGCGCGCTCAACAGCGCCCCCTCGGGCAGCATCATCCTGCTGCACGCATGCGCGCACAACCCCACCGGAGTCGACCCCACGCGCGAGCAGTGGACCGAGATCGCCGCCATCATGAAGGAGAAGAAGCTCTTCCCGTGGTTCGACTGCGCGTACCAAGGGTTCGCCTCGGGCAATCTCGACAACGACTCGTGGGCTGTGCGCTACTTCGTCGAGCAGGGCTTCGAGATGTGCATTGCGCAGTCGTTCTCCAAGAACCTGGGCCTCTACGGCGAGCGCGCAGGTGTCTTCCACTTCGTCTCGCCGCCGTCGAGCGATGCCATCGAGGTCACGAAGAAGGTCGCCAGTCAGCTGGCTATCGTCCAGCGCAGCGAGATCTCAAATCCGCCTGCGTATGGTGCCCGAATCGCCGATGCCGTGCTGAACGATCCCGAGCTGTTCAAGGAGTGGACGGAAAACTTGCAGACTATGGCCGGAAGGATCATCGATATGCGCGCTGCCCTGGTATCGAAGTTGAAGGAGCTGGGAACGCCTGGCGATTGGAGTCACGTTACGAAGCAGATTGGAATGTTCAGTTTCACGGGACTCACCGAGAAGCACGTGGCGGTCCTGAGAGAAGAGTTCCATATCTACATGACCAAGAACGGGCGGATATCTATGGTGGGTTTCTTTGCTTCCTTAACCTACCTTCCATTGAAAATGCATTGGCAAATACTGACTGTTCTCCTTCCAGGCCGGCCTCAACTCCCACAACATCGACTACGTTGCCGCCGCTGTCGACAAGGTCGTCAAGCAGTACCCGGAGTAGACCAACCGTGCAGTAGCCGCGGGAATTTTGTCTTTTTCTTAGTTTTGGGAATGTAATTACGGTGTTTGTTGCTTTGCTTTGCTTTGCGTTTGTTACTTTGCGTTTTCGTTTTTTCTCTCTCTCGGGAGAGTCTGTCTGTCTGCTTGCTTGCTATGCTCTTCGGTATGATACAGGATTAGGGGATTAGGGGAAATACAAATGGGATTGACACGTGGGATCACACAATGTTGCGTGCATACCTATACACTTGCGAAGACAGGAGGTCTAGTTCTGCAGGATGTTTTAATGATGGGCATGGCGTCATTCAAGCCCTGCCCCGCCGGGTATTGTGCTGAATTATCCGCATTATGTATGCACATGAGTGAGTGAGGGAAGTGCACGGTTTGGGGCAGGATTGGGCGGCGGCCTGGCGGGGTTAAGACTTGCGAGTACGTAAGGGGGGAGACTCCGGAGGGTGAGACTCGGGACTCGGGAGGGGCTGTTGAGGGGCTGGCGAGTGGGGGGTTTGTGCGATTGAATGAGGCTGTAGGTAGAGTAGATCGGTGATGGGAATTGGAGGCTTGCTTTTGCTTTGTGCGCTTTGCCGGTAGGTCTCTGTGAGTCTCTGCAGGTAGCCGGCCGGTTGTACATATGATGCCCAGAACCTGTGGATTGTGGATCGTAGTCCGTGGATGACTGGCAAAGCGCGGGAGATGTGTAGATACATACTTATTTACGCCGTCACTTCACCTCCAGAGTCTAGCGGTCCAGCCAGTGACTTCAGCATCCAGCAGGGCTCGGTAACTTCCGCGCTGCGACATGGATCTCGGGCCACCTAACCGAACACAACTACATACACAGCTCCCATAGTTAACCTCGACACCGCGCGTCGTCACCAGCACTTCAACACCTCCGCCGAACTTCATCACGACCTCCGAACGCACACATACACGATGAGCCCCATCCGGCGCGGCAGCTCGCGCCTGCGCATCCTATGCGTCACCACGGTCGCAGCAGTGTTCATATTCTACACCCTGGTGCCCTCTGGGCTCTTCTCATCATCTCCGTCCACACCTGGGAAAGTGCAATACCCCTTCAAGGCGAAGGGAGTTGTCGCGGGGGACCCCGCGAAGGCCGCCGCGGTCAAGACGGCAATGCAACGCACGTTCTGGAAGTACCGTGCTGCGGCGTGGGGCTACGATGAGGTCCGTCCTGTAAGTGGGGGAAACAGGACGACGAGGAATAATTGGGCTGCGACCATTGTCGACACGCTCACGACTACACTCATGATGGGGCTCGAGAGGGAGTTTTTCATTGTGAGTGCTGTCTCTGGTGCTCGGGGGCGGGGGCGGGGGGATTGGGAGGAGTGAGCTAATGAGGGGATGCGGGTGGGGGTATGTAGGAGTTAGATTTCGCGATCCACGACGTGGACTTTACGCGGGCACGGGGGCTAGTAGATCCGTTCGAGACGACGATCCGGTATCTTGGGGCGATGGTATCGACGGTGGACCTTCTCGACGCCAAGTTCACAACGTTCTCCATTCCGGTGCCGAAGGCGTCGCGGGACGCGCTGCTGGCACAGGCAGTGCTGCTCGCCGATAAGCTCGCGCCCGGATTCGATAGTCCTACGGGAATGGTGTGGCCAAGAGTCAATTTCACCACCGCTGAAGGGTGCAGGGAGAAACCGGCGGAACGGCCGTACCCCGATTATGATCATGCGACCATTGGGCCGGCTAGGGCCGGCAGTAATTGGCTCGAGAATATGGCCCTGAGTAGGCTTACGGGAGTGAAGCAGTACGGCGCGAATGCGACGAGGGCGTGGAGGTGAGTGGTGTTCCCGAGAGGCATGACGGGTCACTCGGCTAATTATTCTGGGGGCAGTCCGTTGGTGTATAGCAAGTAAGCGCTCATGATGTTGTGTGCCCGGGGTGGGACTGATTGGTGACAGATGGGACGAGGAATGGCCGGGGATGATTGAGTATGTCGCCACACCTGAGATATCGGGATTTGACTAACTGGATATAGCGGCCCGTGGGACATAATGACCGGCACACCGTACGACCACCATCGCAGCTGGGGCGCTGGTCATGACTCGTAGGTTGCCTCAATCCACTCCTCACCACCACTAACTCTCTAGGTACTACGAATACCTAATCAAAGCGCACGTGATGATCCCGTCGGACCCGCACTCACTCAAATACCGGGACCGATGGCTCGCGGCGGTCGACAGCACGACGAAGCATCTGATCCAAACCTCGCAGGACGCGGGCGATGCCGAAACGCACTACTTCCTGCACCAATACCGCAACGGCTGGCTCATCAACGAGATGGGGCATCTCGCGTGCTTCGCGGGCGGGAACTGGATGCTCGGCGGCGCATACCTACAGAAGCCGGCGATCACGAAGATGGGCGCCGAGCTCATCAAGACCTGCCGCGACACGTACGCAAAAACCACCACCGGCATCGGCCCCGAAACTTGGAGCTGGTACCCCATGGACGCGGAACCAGTCCACGATCCGAAAACGGAGGAGCAGTGGAAGCAGGCCCGCGAGTGGGGCTGGTGGGTCGCAGATCCGAAATACGTCCTCCGCCCCGAGACGGTGGAGAGCTATTTTTACGCGTATAGAATCACGGGGAATAAGATGTACCAGAAGTGGGCGTGGGAGGCGTTTCAGGCTTACATGAAGGCTACCAAAGCGGAATATGGATACGCGGAGGTCCTGGACGTTACGTTGCCTGCCGGCGCGGACAACCAGAAAGACCAGGCGGAGAGTTTTTGGGGCGGTCAGTACCCCTCCCCCCTCCCCCTCCCCCACTAGGCTGACGATGGAAAAGCGGAAACGTTGAAATATCTCTACCTCATCTTTTGCGATGACGACGTGGCGAGCTTGGATGAGTGGGTGTTTAGTACCGAGGCACATCCGTTCAGGATCCAAAAGGAGGCGGCGCTGGCGGCGACGGGAGTCCTTGGCACCACGGTGTAGATGATGTTTTGGCTTGTCTTGTTTCTAGATTGCTTTGTTTTGTTTTGTGCGTGATGATATACGGAAGATTGGATTACTATAGATTAAGGATACCCCGATACATATGACTGGCCAAATACCGGCATGTGCAAACAGTGCCGAGTGACCGCACCATGCGCCACCCACCGCGACCAACCCAACCGCCGCTTACCATAACCCGCCTAGCGCAATGGCAATGCGGCTCACCAATAACCCGACATTTTCCTCACCACCGACCACCGCACCACCGCACCCATCCGACCGAACCCATCACCACCACCTACCCGCACCCGCACCCGCACCACCCGCACCCGCACCACCCGCACCCCGCACCCCACTCAATCTACCCAATCCACAACAACTGCAGCAATGGTCCAATACTTCACCGTCGCCGGCCGCCAAGTCGGCTCGCACGTCGTGCGTTTCCCCCGCGTTCCCCTTCCACCCGCTTCAACCCCCGCCTCCGGAGCCGCAGTGACTGACGTATTGGTTTTGTGGGGCAGCTGGCGATGGCGACGCTCGGCGTTACGGGCGTGGGCGCATACCTGGGCCTCCGCGGCGGCGATAGCGGCGCCGAGAAGAATACCCCGCCCATTAAAGCCGATAGTGGCGAGGAGGAGAAGTTTATCCGGTACGTACCTCCGTACTCCGTTGCAAGTAATGAGAGGGGAGGGGTGGTGGGCGGGGAAGGGAGTGGGAGTGGGGTTGCTGGGCTGGGCTGACCTGACCGGCAATAGCGAGTTCCTGGCCAATGTCGAGAAGGAGGAGCAGAAGGCGAAGCATTAGAGGGCTGGACTGGATGAACTGGATGAACTGGAGGAACTTCGCCGAGGCGAGTCTGTAGATTACACAAAAGGCAATTGCAGTGGCGGCTAGACCTAGACGGATAGACACGTACGTACGTACGAGACGATTTGGGCGGGCGTGCTGTGGTGCTGTGAGACGGCGAGAAGTGGGAGTGATTGAGTGATGGATATACCGAAGCCGAGTTGGAGAAATGTGGTTACGCCGTTCCGGCGAGGGCCAAATGCTACCATAGTGACTTCCCGTTCTCAAGCTGACCCGAGCGTGTAGGCTCCAGCAAGCTGTCCCACAGGTGTCAGGCAGAGCTGGTACGTGTGTGTGGTTAGTTTTGTTGAACAATGAGGTAGGTAGAAGAACACAGTGGTATTCAGCCCAGCAACATCGTGAGCAGCGAGCTCTCTCTATGATATATACAAGCTTCATAAACCAGCAAGTCTCTGCATCGATCCTTTAGGAAGGGGTGGGCCTTCCACGCCCGGATACCCCACTAACTAGGGACATCGTCATCGTCATCCCCGAGCGTCCCATATTCTAACAGGTTTGTTTGTTTGTTTGTTTGTTTGTCCATTGATTTGTATAGTGAGTTGGTATGATATACAAGATCTGAGGGAATAAAGAACGAGTTTGAAAAACAAAAAACCACTCCTATCGCCTATTGTAGTAAAGGCAGACCCAAACATGCCTCATGCCCAAAGTAGAGAGGCAGAAAAAAAGAAAAAAGAGTAAGAAAAAAGATAAAAGAAAGAAAAAAAATGCGTAATCAAAACCATACGCCCCGTGCCCTCCCGCCTATACCTCCCAATTCATTCAGTCCCCCCCTCCCCCCTCCCCTCTCCCCACCGTCGCCCCCTTTTCAGTCGTCAAACAGGCCCTCGATGGCCTTGTAGTTGATCTTCTTGCTGTAAGCCCTCCGCTTCAGCATCTCCTTTGCGGACTCAGCCGGCGAAGCAGCAAGATCTGGCGCGCTCGAGTCACGCGGCTTCGTCTTCTTTCTCTTGCGCATGCTCTTGACGATTCCCATCCTCGCGTCGGAGGCGGCCTTGAGGCGCTTCACCTCCTGATCGCGGATCCAGTCCTTGTTGAACTCGGTCCAGATCTTCTCCCTCATCTCGGCTTCATTGTCGTTAAGAATGGCGCCTTGAACTTCCCAGTCGTCGTCGACGTCGTTGAGATTTTCGGGGTCGTCTGAGACTAGGCCCTTGGGGAGCGCGGCGAGTGTCGCTTCGTGTGCGCGGCGGAGCTCCTCGACGATAGCGGCGGAGTCCGAGTCGTTGACGAGTCCGGAGATCTCGCTCTCGATGGTCGACATGATAATGTCGTTGCTCTGCTCGTCGGGCATGAAGATGCCGGAGTCCTTGATGGGTTTTGGGTGCTTGCTAGTAGCGGGAGCGGTGGGTGGTGGAGTTGCGAGTCCTTCCTCGCTGCCGACAAGGGCGGGATCGATCGGTATCTCGGGGATCACGAAGCCGTCCGCGTCTCTTCGGAGTTCCTGTTGCTCTCCGGTCTTGGCTTTCTTCGCTGGACTGCCACCAGCTTCTTCGGTCTCCTCCTCGGCGTCGCTGTCAATGACTTCACCGTCGTCGTTGACCTGCCGTACCCTCTTGCGCTTCGACTTCTTCGGGCCGAAGCTAGGCGGATCGTGTTCTTGCTCGAGCCATATGCTTCTGAACTCCTCCACCGTCAGGTCTCCACTGCGAGTCTCCTTGAACTCCTGTAGTCGCTTATGGATGGTGAGATCCGCAACCTTGACCACGTAGACCACCTCCCTGATGCTCCGCCTGAAGTTGTTCATTCTCGCCGCGAGAATCAACGCGGCACCACAGATACCCGACGGCCGACGACCTTGCACGATCCAATCTCTGTTCATGCGCTTGATGAGTCTGAGGGCGTCCTGGGCGACCTTGTACTGATCGTTTCCGAACTCGAGATGCTTCGCGAAGCGATGGATGTATATCGTGGGGTCGATGTGCGGGAGCTTGAGGTTCAAGGTGCGCAAAAGCTTGAGGTACGTCTGTCCGAGGGTGAAGACGTTGATGTGAAGGATGTCCGAAAAGTCGATCAGCATGTGCGAGGACTTCTCCATGCGGCACGCGATGTAGAGACAGCATGCGACGACGTATTGCGCCTTGCGGCCCTTCGTAAAGTTGTGTGTCAGAGCAAGGGTGTAGTTGCGCTGCGCGATCTCGGCATAGTGGTCGGGACAGGCGAGGACCGCGGCGAGCTGGTTGATTCTTCGGCGGGCTGAGGGAGCGCGTCGGTCAGCCAATCGGTTCGCGTGCGATCAAAGAATGCGGGGGGAAAAGCATAGAGACACGTGCCTTCAGCGATCGTCTGCTCGCGACTCTCGATACTCGTTCCGCTGCGATATCTTCCACCGGTAGAGGCGTGAGTCTGACCGGCGCCGACACGACTTCCCTGGACGGTTGCAGCACCCGCACTATTTTCGCCGAAAGTGATTTCCGAGACAATGTGCGATTCGTTGACGACGGTTCCGCAATTGGTGCAAACTACCTGACCCGAGGAATCATCGAAGTCGGCAGGATTCGAACAGCCACAGTTCGGGCATGTGTTGGGCATCTTGACGACTGGGTTATCGGTGCAGAGCAAGGATGGCAGGGAAAATCTGTAAAGCAGATACTCAATGCGGGATTGGGTACTTAAATGTCGCGTGATGGATTAGAGAGTGAGGTTTGCGCGAGGAGGAGAGGTGTTGGTGGGAGAGTGCTTGTGTTGCGGGTGTGTGTGTGTGGAGTGGAGGGGAGAGGAGGAGGGGTTTCCGTATCGGTTAAGGACTTACAAATGCGGCTCAAAAGACCGACGCCAAATTTTTCAGTTTTCCAAGAGCGAATAGGACTAGCGAGCACTGGGACTAGCAAGCACTCATACTAGCGTGTACTAGAATTAGCGAAGACCAATCCAAAACTAATATTTGATTGAATCTCGATTGAAATTCACAAAAAAAGTAATGTTATTCACGGGTAGGAGGACAACCATAAGCTCGAGCGCTGTAGATAATGAATTAGGTAACAGGGAGATTACTTTGTTCAGCCAGCCTGGTCTTGATCAATTGATGCATTGGGAGAGAGAGAACATCAACCTATCGTCGCATACGGCCTGTCTAGACCGATTAATGATTTGTGGTATTCTTTTGGTTGAATTGTTAATCACATACAACCTATCTATGTAAATCATGGCGATGTACACACACACCGGTTTCTTATCCACCGTCCAACCCGGCCCCGAAGGGTCTGCAGCGGCACGCGGTGGCTCACTCCCTCGCCGCTGCTCTCCGCCTGGCATCCAACGCAATGAAGCGCATTAAGGAAAGTATACGGTAGAGACTGATACCCACGGGCTTGCATGGCCGCTCATTCCCACCTCTCCTCCTCTCTCCGAACGGGCTGTCGAAGATCTAAAACTAAACTTCTATCGAGTGCTACTTAATGATGCACTCTCCAAAGCTCACGACCACACACGACCGATAGAACAAGCACTCAGCATCATCCGTAAACTCATAAATTTCCAGATACAGGATCAGTCACGATCCAAGACCTCCAGATGCCTAGGCTACTCCATCCTCGGCATCCTGCCACCAGCCCCTTCAGGCTTCTTCATCCCCTCATCCCCCATCCGCTGCTGTCCTCCAGCCCCCTTCCCCATCCCTCCACCTCCCGGCATGTTCTGCTTATGATCTCTCCGGGCATGGTGCTCACCGTGATGTCCCTCGGCTTTCGCCATACCTCAGTCCCAGCACCGCATTCAGCCCAAAGATTACTCACCGGTCTGCCCACTTCCGCTCGAGTGCTTCAACCCACCATGCGCCAGCGGCTCCAGATGCGACGACTGCATGACGTAATCGTCACCGATCACGCCGTGGGTGTGCTCAGTGCTCGAGTGGTCTTTGAGCGGGGACTTAAGAGGGTCGATCTTGGTCGAAGAGAGCTCGTCCTCGTCGTAGCCGGGGCCATTGGTGGGGTGCTCGAGGGCATCGAGAGCCTTGCTGCTGGGTTTATTCTGACGATCCATTTTTTCGTTGTTGTTTCAGTGTGGTTTTGTTCGGTAGAGGAATCTGGGCACGGTTGGTTGTGTGCGCCGTTTTTTTATACGTGCTGGCGATACGATGACGACTGTGCGCGGAGTCGTTGGCCATGATGCTCCACTGACGTCAATTGAACGCCGCTGAGAATAGACGGCGGCCGATGCTTGACGGGGATAAGCGGCGTGAAGCGAATGTTTGTGTGGTGGTATATTTGTCATGTGGTAGGTACCAGGCCGTACCTCTCCCCCGGCGCCTAGAGTACAAGGTGAAAATTGGCCTCCAGTCTCGAGCTCGATACCGAGACACCTACGATAGACTACGGTAGGATACGTCTATTGCGGCAATTCACACTCCACGCTCCTACGACTGGCCTCATTCAGTGCCATATCGTCTCCATCCTCCCCCCATCTTCTCAATAAGCCCACCATATCCTTAAAGCGTCTTCCATCCCAGTGGCCCCTTTCCCCTTCCCTTCGTCTCCCTAACCAGACACTTCACCATCCCATCCTGCTCCCTTAACTCACTCACCTCAGGATAGAATCTATCTCTCTGCTCAAGCGGCACGCTCTCCAGCTCTCTATCAGTCGCACAAATCTCCGTGATAACCCTCTCCCTCCGCTGCATTCCCGCAACCAATCCAGTAATACTAAAATCCTTCTCCATCACCTTCTCCTTCACAAGCTCGTCTTCCGGATCAACACCAACCCGCTCTGCCAACCGCTTCCAAGCAATCCCATTTTCGTTCGACCGCCCAAAAGTATCCGCAAACGCCTCATAAACGGCGAGATGATACCGGCGCCACACAGCGTCTCGCTCGGGATGGTACACGACGACTGAGGGGAGCGGCCATGCTTGCCTGTCGTGAAGCCGGAGGAACTCGGCGGGGAAGGGCGCGTCGCGCGCATGATGGAAGTTTGGGTAGAAGGTTTGGAAGAACTTTACCACCGATTGAAGTTTAGCGCGTGAGGGTCCTTGCTGTTTCCGTGCCCTGGGGGTGCTTGGGGTGCTTGGGGTGCTTAGGGTGCTAAGGGTAGCGGTGTCATATTTTTCTCGGGTTTTAGAAGCTCGTGGTGGTTTTGGCTGCGGGCGGGCAGGTGTCGGGCTCGTAGCGGTGCGGGTTTGGGTGTCATCTCCGTCCTTTTTTCCAGGCGGGAAGCGCAGTTTCGATCGGGGTTCCGATTGCGGCCGAGTTGCTGTCGAGGGCGCTGCAGCGCTCCTGTAGCTGGAACTGGGCCGTCGCGGGGGACCTATGGGTTCCGGTGCTCTGGCTGTGCTGAGTGTGCTGGCGTCTTTTCCAGGTCGGGGCGGGAACCGCGGCTCCACTTTTGGTTGCCGCTGAACTCTCGCAGCGGGCGTTTTCAGGCTCGTAGTGGCGAGGGTTGTGATATAATTCTCACGTTTTCGACGCGTCAAAGGCAGCTCTGCTTCTGATTGCGGTCGGGCTGCTGTGGGGATCGGTTCAGGTTGCTGCTGCGAGACTGTTCTGGGGGGCGCTTTTGGGTTCCATTTTGTTCGCTGCGTCTGGATTGCCGTAGACGGCGTTGGGGCGCTCCGTGTACTGAAGACGAGTCGGCGCAAGGCGGGGGATGGTGTGGACATCGAGTGAGGATAATTTTGCGGTGGTGGGGGTGAGTGATGTCGTACAGCAATGCATAACTACAGGGTTTAGGTGGCGCGTCTACTCTATGTAGGACAAAACAACCGCGCGCCACTCCTCTATTAGCTTCCCGGCTCCTGACGCCGATTGCATGCCGCTCTTTAGGCTGGGATTCCCGAGCTATGTATCGTTCGGCATGTTCGCGACGTGAGCTTGACTACAGAATACCAAGCAGGTCCCCACGGCCAACCCAATTGGCTGGATTGGCTGCACTGTCCCGTAAGCGCACATACACATCGAGGAGTGGTAATCGGCATGTAAGGGTTCGAGATACAAACACAGCTTTGCTCTTGATATGGCTTTGATGATGATGGAAAACAAAACAAAACAAGACAAGCACGGAAGACATAAATGGCCACAGCAAGCAGAAACTAAAAGTTGGATGCACATCATCAAATCTCCCCATCACAGGAAACTAGCATCACCTCCGCGACAGCTGGTCTCACCAGGTCTGTACAAACTCCACTCCCTCACCAATAAGTCCCGCTCGTGTCCCGCAAATTCCCACTCAGGCTCGCTGGGTCCCCAATCCCCCGGCCGCTGGTCCCACTCGGGTCTCGCCAAGTCCCGCTCAAGTCCACTAGAGTCCTACTCGATCGGTGCTCTCTGGAAAACGCTAAGTCGCCTCTGCTCCTGCGCCCCTCAATATGTACCTATTGCAGGGTCCACTTTAGCTATACGGAAACGAACCGTCGGTGATGACGGACGAAGGATGGTCGAAGATAGCAGAGGAGACAAGGTCTAGAAGGGCATTGGTTTAGCTGCAATGACCGCAACTTTCTACAGCCCTCCTCAGCCTCGATTCCCACAATCAATCTTTCACTGCGGGAAATGATGACGTTAATTTCTTGACTCCGGCATATGCAGCCTTGCTCGGCTGTGCACGCAGCCTCGGTTTAGCCTCGTGCCTCACGACAGGGCAGCAATCGTCACACAAAACCAGGTATCACTCGAACGATGGCCCCGTCGGCCAATTTTCGACCCGCGCTAGCGTCCCACAACATCTATAAAACCCCCCCTCTCTCCCCCCCCTCCTCTCCTCTCCCTTTCTTCTCCATCTTAGTGCAAGGGTATTACGAGTCTCAGTGAGGATTTAATCCGAGAGCTTGTTTTTGCTAGTTGAAAACTAAACCTTTGACCGCTCCTGGCCTGCTTCGGCGGCGCCAGGGAATTTTTGGCTTCTTATGTACGATGTTTTTCGTTGGCTTCCAGGTTGCAAACGTGGGGTTGAAGAAAGATGTACACTTTGTCAAATATACTAAGATCGATTAGATTATTGGTAGGAGAGATAATATAGATGTTTATTTGCTTGCTTCTTTTCTACTCTGGGTCGGCGCTCTTCTATATATACAGTTGCTCCTCCCCGTCTCCTTCCGAACTTCTGCCCACAGTGTTTTCTGCTGCATTTTGCATTCGGGGCAGTTTTTGAAGAGGTGCTCCCTGGTCTGGGTCTTGCAGCGACACCATCCTCAGCGGACGTCTGGGCGGTATTTCATCCATTGGAAGTACTGGCCGGTGAGGAAGTGTCCTGTCTTCAGCTGGTAGAACCTTGAAGCCAGGCGCTTGGAGGCCATGGCCGGGATCGGGTCCAGTCTCTGGCCAGGTTCTCTGCTAAACCGGTAATTCTCGTTGGTAACCTGGGCGTCGGCCCATGCTTTGGCTTCTCTCCACATACTTTTCGTGATGCCTCGTCTCAGGTATGCGAGTGACGGAGGAGGTAGCGATTGATCACTAGCCTATTTCCCCCCACGACACAGGATATCACGCAGCGAGTGAAAGCTGATGAAGAGTCTAGTTCAACGACTTCAATCCTTTGCAGCTAGAAAGCTATGTGCTTACCTCGCGCTGTACTTACCACTTACCTCCGTAGATACCCCCGTCCATGCGATAAAGTAAACAACTTGAAGTAAGTCACCCACGACCCAGAACGCACTAGCGGCACCGCCGTCTCTTCTCATTCGAGATGCCAGGAATCGTGTATCGCAGTCGCTCTGCTTTGACTGACGCTACTTACCTCGGAGAAAGTCGGTTTACATCTTTTGGAGTCACGTTATAACACACACTTCCGAGCGGTTGCTCCTCCAGCACTGATCCTGGTGCATCCCTAACAACCTCTTCAGTCCGACCCCACCATCGGAGCAGAAGCGACACCCTTCAGCGAGCACATATCGACCGCAACAAATCCGCACCGTCGTTCGGCGGGGATCAACGCCGTTTCACCAACCCCCTCCCCTTAAAGGTCGATATAATGTTCGACATCACCGATCTCATCAACCTCACCCATGGCAAGCGTAAGCCGGTCATCCCGCTGCGCTCCGACACGGGCACGACGTTCGACACCATCTTCCTCCGGAGCCACCGCGAGGAGATCCTGTCGATTTTCCTCGCCTTCAAGCAGACCGAGCAGCTGCTGGACTCGATGGAGGAGCACACGATAGCCAAGCACTTCGAAATCCTCCTGCGCATGCTCCAGCACCGCCGGCAGCTGCGCCAGTTGAAGGAGTGGCTGGTGCACGACGGCATCGGCGCCACCGGCGACGAGAGGGAGATTCGCTGGATGTGCCGCATGTGCCAGGCGATTTATGAGGGCATCCGGAGGAGGATGGGCATGGGACGGAAGTGGGGGATGACGGCGGGGTTCTAATTGGGGTTGTGCGGAGACGTCCCGAATTTTCCATAGGGAGACTTAATAGTAATTAAAATGTGTTATGGTGCAGTGAAACTTTTGCAACGTGACGATTTGAAGATGTGTTGATGTGGAATTTAGAAATATACACCGCTCAAGATGCCTTCAAAAGCATCGGCGACATACTGGAAGTGCTGAGCCCAATACGACACAGTCATCACTATTAATCACCCGAGTAGTTACAAGGAGTGATCTGATATGAAGTCCACCCTTCATCGACCTCGAATGAAGCTTTTTCGCGTCACTGAATTCCATGTAACCCAATCTCTGCGGACCTATATGATTTGCCGAGCTGCGGCGTCACTGTGCCTAAACTCAATCAAAATAGCTGGTGGGTTTCATACTTTTATGATTCCATCTTATCTGCATATGTAGACGGCGGTACACCATGCGTGGAGACACGACGTTGAGATGAGCTAATCGGTTGCAATTATTGCATGGTTAACTACGGTACTCTAGGTACCCCACAAGGTCCCCTGGCTTCCCCACAAAATGCTAACTTTAAATGACCTTTCTTTTTGGTTCAATCATGGATTGCATGCGACCCGCCTGAATAACCATGGACCTACTCCAGGATATTCTGTATATTAATCGCTGGTGATGCTTAGTGTTGTAGCATGCCGTCTTCGTTCTGGAAGGTTCCTTAACGGGAACATCCCAACCATATTCTTCAAACCATTGTTCTTTATTTGGATGCAAGGAGACGACCTTTGTCTGGAGATCGTTAGTCCTTGAAGTGGTGGCGCTATTACACTCCCGGGTCTGGAGTAGGTGGTGGTCAAACGGGTGAGGGACCACGGTGAGCCTAAGGAGGTGCGAATTGTGGTGTCGGTGGTATTCACTGGATGGCTTGCTGTCATTCTTGTAAGTTTGGAGGTGATTTGGTTTATGGCGTGGGCCAATGGCTCGTAGGCTAGAAACCCGCCATTTTCTGTGGGTACTACTACTGCTAGGTAGTTCGTGTATCTCCTCTCTCCAAAATGATTAAGTCATAAGAAAAAGTAAGCATTAACTACCTAGGCGAATCTCACTCACCTGCAACGAGCTACAGAGCACCACCGTGGGAACGGCCACGCGACTGCACGGGTAATCTTCCGTGAAGACTTATGCTTTGCTCGATGAACCTGGGAAAGCCTAAGTGAAATCGCAAGTGAACCGCAAAAGTCAAGCGATTCAACAGACGGCACAATCTACCCTTACGGTCAATCATCGCGTATAGCTCGGGCGTAAAACGTCCCTCGGTCGTTGCTTTTATTATGCGTGACAATTTCCTCCACGTCATGAGGACCCCTCTGCATTCCCACAACCCATCCGACTAGGTCGCCGACCTCTTCGCAAATTCGACTCTCAAGATCAGATGTCCATATCCGACACCATCCATCTTTACGCACGCCCTCTCAGCATCGCTACGTTCCGCATAACTGACAAAGGCGAAACCCTTTGCTCTGCCAGTCTCACGATCCGTCGCCAAAAAGACTCTGGTGACCCGTCCAAATCGCTCGAACATATCCCTGAGATCGTTCTCTTCTGCGAACTCCGATACGTTCGTAACACGGAGAGTGGCAAGGTCGTCGCGCTCGCGGTTGTTGCTGCTGCCTGCCATCGAGTCGCCCGCTCCACGTCCTTTGCCTCGGAGATGCGGCGCGATATATGCGCCTCCGACCTTCTGCTCCGTGGGCTCCGGGTCAGAAGCGCCACCGGCCGCAGCATCGTCAAGTGGTGGGAGTGTGTCCTTGAACGGACATCTGGCGGTAAAATGGTCACCTTTACAGATACGACAAGCGACTTTCGATCCCTTGAGGGCGTTCTTCAAAGCATCCTCGGCGGGGTCTTCCTCCCTGGAGTTGGATTTCCAGGTAGCCGAAGGGCGGAAGATGATATTTTCTCCGACGGTCGTGGTAGACATGTCAGGTCCGGGGGCGTGTCCTTTCTCTGCGCCAAACTTGGCCCACTCCTTACGCTCGGCGACCCGTGGGTTGACATGCTCCTGGACCACTGTCGTGCGGATCTTGCGCATGGTCTTGATCTTCTTTCCTGCATCGCTTAGGCGGTATGTGATGATTGTCTTGGTGCCGTCGGGGTTGGCAATGATTTGCTGCGGCGGCAAGGCCGAGGGATCATCAAATTCTTCGTCGTCGGCCCAGTTTGCGCGGCTGTAGACATAGCGGGGTCGGTTAGTGGGGAGGGGTCTTCAAGAGCCACAAGAGAGCTTACGAGGTGTCGGGGGCCATGGCTATTGAGTGATCTTTGATATTGCGATTTAGTCGTTGCTGTGGTCTCTTGCTACTCGTCGATACTCGTTCCCTTCGTTGCTGTGGTTGGTTGGATGTTGGTGGGATCGGAATGGAGAGGCGAGATTGTGTGGCCACTGAAGTTCTAGGACGGTTGAAATCCTGAGTGGGTGCCAAGATTTCGCGCCTGCGTTGAGCATGCGAGCTAACGCACGGACCAACGCGACGACCCCACCAAGTTACTAATTCCCGCCCCGCGACCAGTTCTCCCGCCGAAGATATCACCACATACAGCTGCCCGCCATGCTGCGACCACGGATCTTCCGCCCGCCTCCGTACCTTTTCACCGGCGCAAAGGTGTCTTTCCTCCGGCCAATCCAGCTTTACCGTCCTCTCTCGCCAATGACCATTACTCGCTCCGCCGGCGTACACCATCGTCGTCCGGCCCCATCTCGACGTGGAGACCCCGTCGTAATCCAGCGCGAACCACCACCAACATCCGAACCACCACCAACATCCGAAGAACGTTATATACCAGAAGAAGAACGCGAGCCACCAATGGCAGGCCGTGGCTTTCTAGTCCTTTTCGCCTTGATCGCCGCACCGATCACGTTTGCCTACCAATTCCCGACCCGGATTCTCCCACCAGTGCCCGACCCACCAGAGTTCAAAAACCTCTCCAAGACACCCCTCACGCTCGGCACCTGGGTCTCCTCACCCTGGCAGAGCTGCCAACTCCTGATGTTCCGTCTCCGACGCGGCGAGTACGTGGTGCCTCTACGGAAGAACTTCTCGTTCTCACCGCTGAACTACCTTGGGATATCGTCGCAGCCTAATGATCTACTCAACCTCGCGTCGGGCAACGGAGGTGCTCCTGAGAAATGGCGCTGGTGGACCTGGGGAACTTATATGTTTGCGCACGGCGGGTTATTCCACTTCGGATTTTGCTTCATGGCCATGAGTTCATTGGTGCCGATGTTCGTGGCTCGCTATGGAGTGGGCCGGACGCTAGCGTCATTCTTTGGGGGTGGTATCGGTGCTGCGGCACTGTGCTGCCAGATAGAGGATTATCTCCACGGACAGGATGTGAAGGATGGGAAGGGGATACACATCGTGCAGCGCAAACAGGCCACGCCGAATGGCAGTCAAGTAACAGTTAACGAGCTCGCGCCTGTGCCGGGGTACAAGGGGATGTTTATTTCAAGCATCGGCTCCAGCGCAGGGCTAATGGCGATGATCACGACTACCGCGATCGCGATGCCGCAGTCGAAGTGGGGCCTCATGTTTTTGCCTTTTACTGTGGGCGCGAGACCAATGGTGGGAGCGTTGGTGGCTTGGGATTTGGCCGGTGCGCTAGGGTATGCCCCAGACATGGGGGTGGGACATGTGGGACATCTCTGTGGAGATGTAATAGGGCTTTTGATGTATGCGCTGTGGTTGAGGAGGTTGCCGGTTAGTAGAGTAATGGCATGGCGGAGGAAGAGAGAGGGGTATTGGTAGGAGAGCATCGGTAAGAAGGACCTGTACATACCTACATGGTATACTTACTGGAGATTAACTCCCCTAAAGGGTCTTCAACCATCTCTCCAGCAATCTTTTTAGACATTTCCGCGACGGACTTGTTGGTTCCTCAATACCAGGAAACCAGGTTGCTCCGTACAATCAAATACGAACCTGTAATAAACAGCAGGTGTTGATGAGGCGTCAATTAACGTCATGACTAAACACAAAGAACTGACCAAAAGTTTGTAGAAGTCACTCTTCGAATTTCTACCTTTCCAGGAGACTTTGATCCGACATGTATACGCCTATTTACTTGGCTATTAAGTACTCAAGTCCATACCTAAGTAGCCATGCAGTCATGCTGATCGTCCAGTAGACGCCTGTGTGAGACTGTACGCAACGATGTCTGTCTTTCGAGTCTATCAGATATCCTACACGCTTCTGAGCCTAAGCATCCGTCAAGACGCCTCGGTCACTCGGCCCCGTGCCCAGCCTTCCACGTGGCCTCCGCTCACCGCGCCACTGTGGCCCCGCCACACCTGTGACACCACGACGTCACTACCCCGCCACCAGCGTGCTTTTGTCGCGGTTCCCAGAGCTGCTTTTGCACCGTTCGCACCGTTCTCATCCACCAGATGGCGGCCCGCATTCATCACCTTGCGGCCGTTTCCCGGCGATGGACCAGCAATCCTCGACTAATGCCAAACCTTCCTCCTACTCCTTCTCGATCTACATTCCGGGGCCTTCGTACTCGTCCTCGAGCAGTACCAGCGCCTCCTCCTATTACTCCTACTGCTGGGGTGAATCTATCACCTGAGCAGCTGACCGCGCTCAAACTCGTCGGGGAGGGAAAGAACGTGTTTATCACTGGCCGCGCCGGCACGGGAAAGTCTAAACTGATCGCGGAGATTCGGATTCAAGCGTGGAACAGAGGACGGAAATGTATCGTTACTGCGCCTACTGGTGTTGCTGCACTGCTGGTGGGTGGGAAGACGCTGCATTCGTGGCTTGGCGTGGGGCACGGTGACGAGCACTTTCAGCACTATATCGATAATTTAAATCCCCCATCGAGATTATCGTCACAGGAGAAGGAACGTGACGACTGGCAGCCTTGCTCGAAAGTCAATTTGCTGATAATTGATGAGATATCAATGGTGAGTTTTCACAGTCGGGTTCGGTAACTGTCCCTTGTGTGGGTCTATCTTGATGGATGGGTGATACTAGGTACATCCGCACCTTTTCAATTTGACCAACTATTTGGGAAAGATGATGAGGGGGAACAAAAAGCCCTTCGGTATGTACAGCATGCATGGGCCACACGGATTGTTAAGTCTGAATACTGACTGTTCCCTAGGTGGGATCCAAGTTGTGGTATGCGGTGACTTTTTCCAGCTCCCGCCGGTGAGTAAAACGATCGGGGGTATCTACGAACGGTGTCCCAACTGTGGTATGTCGAACGAATTCATGGCTGCGGGGAGACGGGGCTGAAGACTGACAGACGGCTTAAACCATTCCAGGCCTCGACCTTCCTCCCGACTGCCTATTACCTAATGATTCACTACTCTCCGGATTACCAGACGGAGTGCACTCTCAGGGTATCGACCAGTACCGGTGGCGATGTTGCACCGATCCCACGTGCGGGCACCTTCACAATGAAACGATCAAATACGCGTTCCAGACTGAATCGTGGCGCGAGGCCGGGTTCGAACCAGTTGTTTTGGAGACAGTTTTCAGACAGAAGGATATTAAGTGGATCGATTATCTTGCACGCATTGCGAAGGGGAAGGCGGATGAGAAAGTACTCGATTTCCTGGACGGCCTGAGACGGAAGTTGCCATCAGTCAAGGGCATCAAGCCGACGAAGCTATACTCGCACCGGGAGAAAGTGGATGAGGAGAATGCAGCGGAGTTGGCAAAACTTCCAGGGCCAGAATATTCATTCCGTTCTACCGACTCGAAGACAGTCTATCAGAAAAAAACTTACTATCCAATCCCTAAACGGGGAGTGAAGTGGAAATGGGATTTGGTCGAGAAATCCACTCCGATTGACCCCGATGATCCCAACAATGCAGGTATGCAGACCGAACTCCCACAGATGACGAGAGGTCCTGATTACTCGCGTAGATTTCCTGAGAGCCCTTAAATCGCTCCAATGCCCTATGGAACTCAAACTCAAGGTTGGAGCGCAGGTGATGCTGCTGGTTAACATGCTCGAAAAAGGGCTCGCAAACGGGTCACGGGGAGTCGTCACCAAATTTGAACTACACACGTTACCACAACCTACCGAACCCAGCGGATCTGCCAATGATATCAATGAACCGACATATCACGAAGTCTTACCCCCGGGCGGGACACATTTTATTCCGGTGGTACAATTTGTGAACTCTGATTATGAAATCCCGATCTTCCCCGAAACCTGGAAAATCTCACACTACCGCAAAGCCAGCCACGAACATCTCAAGACTGTACTATACCGATCCCAGATCCCACTAGCACTTTGCTGGGCTACTACAATCCACAAGACCCAGGGCCAGACTCTCGACTATGCCATCGCCGATATCTCGCAGTGTTTTTCCCCGGGACAGGCGTATGTGGCACTCAGCAGGTGCAAATCTCCACAGGGGCTGCAGATTGTGGCGGGCAAGGGGAGGGAGGCACTGAAAAAATCGTTGTGGGCTGCGTGGCAGGTCGTCAAGTTTTACAACATGTTCGACAAGCAGAGATAGGCGAGGAGTGGTACTCGGAATGATAGAGTAGAATAGGGGCGCTTTTGAGGACGGAAACATAGTCTACCTATTCTCCGGGAATTTTTGGAATCTATTACATACTTAGTTGCTCAAAGCATGTATCCAATCGCTGACAGGGTCGGCGAAAGAATCGGACCGGGCGTGAGCCCGGTCAGGGCGGGGTGATCCCACCTTGGTACTCTATGTCAGAGTTTGGACGTCCGGAATGGGTCGATGACGACCGCAGCAATTCTGGCAGTCCACAGCAATGCTGACAGACAATGTATCAGTGCGCACCGTCATCTGTATGCTATACCACGACCTAGGTATGGGAGAGATTCGAGATTCTGTATATATTGAGGACCTCCGGTCCGGAGAGATTGCGCAGTAATTAGAACACTATGAGCATTTGAGATTGTCAAAGATACTGAATTCTATATATACAGAATATATCTGTCATTGAGAGATAGACCGGCCGGCGAGACTAGACAACAGAAAAATCTCCGGATACAGTTCGCATGATCGACTCCTCGACTCCTTCAGAACAGTACTCGTTGAAACTTCAGCACCTTACAGCGGACACGAGGAGAGATCCTTCATGTGCTCCGGACGCGGTAATCTGACGGAGATCCTCTTTTTATTACACTCTACTCTACTCCAGCAACACGCTGCCTACTTATTCAATCATGATCATTCTTCAGCCCCACGTTTACAACCTGGAAGCCAACTAAAAACATCGTACACCTCAAAGAAGCCAAAAATTCCCTGGCGCCGCCGAAGCAGGCCAGGAGCGGTCAAAGGTTTAGTTTTCAACCAGCGAAAACAAGCTCTCGGATTACATCCTCACTGAGACTTGTACTGCCCTTGAACTAAGATGGAGAAGAAAGAGAGGGGTGCGGGGAGGAGAGGGGGGTTTTATAGGTATTGTGAGACGCTAGCGCGGGTTGGGAGTTGGCCAACGGTGACATCGTTCGAGTGATACTGTGGGATCCGGGGGGCCAGACCCTATCCGGTCGCATCAACGTTGAGATGTTCTCTGCTGCTGCAGCGCTGCTTTTATGTTCGTCTAGTCTTTCGGTCTGTCGACAAGACACGAGGCATAAGAGACTATCACCACCGAGACATTATAAGCACTTCAACATCGCGGAGATCCTTAGAGGTTGTTCAGCCTGACGAACATCAGGCTGCTTTCTTTTCTTGCTGCTCTCTGGTTAAGTCAATCAGTCTCATCAGTTGCCTGCACTCTTCGGAGGTCTCTCGCTGCCCAGTTGTGAGCCACGGAGCTGATAGCTAACCCAGGGCCGCCGCGGGCCCAATCGAGCACGGCTGGAGCCTAGGTGTGGAGGATCAGTGGTGTTCGCTACGCTATCGAGGGAGATGGATGATCGAGTGCGAGGGTTGAAGTTGGGAAAGGCGATATCTAGAAGGTTGTGGTTCCGCGCAGCACTGAGCCAAATGCCTACTCGTGCACAAGGTAGAGTAAGATGGGGATCATCATTTCGTCCTGTGTCCATGAGACTTTTCCGCGCCATCTCTTAAGGGGATGAACACAGTGATACACACGCCATGCCAACAGCCAACAGCGAGAAGATGTAGATATGTGAAGAAAAGTTATCCAACCTGGTTATACGGTACTACCTAAAGCTAACCCTCATTTTCCCGGCCCTTCTATCCTCCAACCTCTCCATCAACACGCTCTCATAAACCTCCGTAACCCACTCGGCCAGATACCCCCTCGTATCCTGCGGGACACACATCTCCTCGACATTAAACGTATTCGCACTCCTGACCGGATTCCCGAGGGCATCATAAACCTTCCTCAGCCTCCTCAGGGCCTCGTCGCGATCCCCCGCTGCGTCCAGCTCCTTCTTGTGCGCCACCTCAATCCCGCCATCAAGCGGCAGACTCCCCCACTCGGCGCTCGGCCAGGCGAGGCGTCTGCGCACCGGGCGGGAATCACACATGACGCCTCCCGCGACGCCGTAGCATCTCCTTACAATGACGGAGAATACCGGAACTGACGTGGAGTAGTAAGTCTTTGCCATCTCGACGCCCCACCTCATGGTGCCGGCCTTTTCAGCGGCCGTGCCGACCGCGAAGCCGGGACAGTCGATCAGCTGGATGATTGGCAGGTTGAACACGTCGCACAGACGCAGGTGCTTCGAGATCTTTTGGCAGCCCGCGGCGTCGAGCGCCCCGGCGTTTACTTGCCCGTTCGAGGTGATGAGCCCGATGGGACACCCCGAGATACGCGCGAGCCCGACGATTGCTGTCGTGCCCCAGAGCGCGCCGATCTCGAAGAAGCTGCTGCTGTCGACGAGATTGCTGATCGCTGTGTGCATCGAGAATGTGCGTGCGGAGCGCCGCGGGACGAGGGTGTTCAGCGAGGGGGATTTGCGTGTGGGCTCGTCGGTGCACGGGTGGGTGGGTGGCAGTTGGCGCGTGCCATTGGATGGCACGTAGGAGAGGAAACGCCGGATTTGTTGGAAGCACTCGGTTTCAGATGCGGCTAGGTTATCGATCGTCCCGTTTGAGCAGTGTAAGTGGGCGCCGCCCAGATCCGCGAAGGAAAGGTCCTGCTCGAAGGTGGCACCTTCGACCACTTTGGGACCGGCAGCGAAAAGGACTGAAGGAAACAGTTAATGGGGATCGCTGCTTTGAGGGAGAGGAGGCCTACAGCCTACGTCTGCAGCGCAAACGGAGAAATGGCATATACTGGCTCTTCCGGCACCGAGGCCTACCGAGGGCCCCAAGAGTGCTGCAATGTTCGGAATTCCGGCGTCGAGTTGCTTGACCTGTTTACTGGTGAGAACATTGTACGCTGCCTCCCAAGAATGCACGAGACTCACCACCGGGCTGAAGAAGGGAAATAGTGCGGGAAGGTGAGTGTATCCAGTCGTTTTGGTAGTGGTGACCGACCCTCCACCTGGAAAGCTACTGCATCAGTTCGCGTGGCGGCCACAGCATGCAGTGCAACACCCACCACTGGATCCATCCACCAATTTGATAATCGGCAATCCCATCTCCAGCGCCATCTTCTCGACATATATCTGCGCCGATCATCAGCTTCTCAGCCACTTCACCGATCACAACCCAGACGCACCGTCTTCTCCATGAGAGCCCCGTCCGCATGTCCCGCTCTAACGCTATAATCGTCTGCAGTAACGAGCACCTTCCTGCCCTCCACCTTTCCCGCGCCCTGAACATTATTGCTTGGAGTGAATCCCTTCACCTCGCCATTGTCCCCCCACTTCACAGATCCCGCGAGCGCGCCAATCTCGCGGAAGCTATCTTTGTCGAGCAGCTGTTCGATGCGCTCGCGTACCCACAGCTTTCCACGCGTCTTCTGCCGGACGTAGCCGGGATTTTTCGTCGGCGCGGTTTGCGCGATCGTGTGCAGCGCACTCATGTGCCCGCTGATGTCGGACCAGTCCTTGGGCGGAGCGAGGTGCGCGGATACTTGCGAGAGACGCCGCTTGGGCGTTGATGGTGCCATTTTGATGCGTGGAGGCGTGTGTAGGGAGTGTCAGGGAGGAAGATTGGACGGCCGCATGTTGTACTCATTGGATATCCCCCGGTTGTGGAAGGCGGTCCGCTTGTCAGATGCGCCGAGGTGGGCTTGTGCTAACTAGTCGTCGGTAACTACCGTCCAGCCGGATGATCCGCAGGGTGCATGCATAGGGCCGAGGTCTAATGTTCCCCACAGTCTTCCTAGCCGTAAATAGAGTAGACGGCAACAGATGTTCATGGGAGAGTGACGATGGTGATATCTGTTTAGATACCTCACACGTCTACAAACTACATCTCCAGAAGTCGGCGATTGGAAGTCATACGCATTGCAATGTCACCGCTCTGGAGCGTCCCACCATCGCGACCCACAGGCCGCATCCGCAAGCTTCTCGTAGCCAACCGGTCCGCCCTCTTTCCACATATCTCGCTTCAACCGCTAACACCAACTCCTCCCGCAGCGGCGAAATTGCCATCCGCATCCTGCAAGCCGCCCGCGAACTCAACCTCGAAACCGTAACGTTGCACACCTCCAGCGACACGACACACACCTTCCACGCGCACTTCTCTCACCTGCTGTCCAGCGTCAGCGGCTACCTCGACAGCGCCCTGATCCTTTCCCTCGCCTTGCAGTCCGGCTGCGACACGATCCACCCCGGTTATGGCTTCCTCTCGGAGTCCTCATCGTTCGCGCAAGCGTGCGCAGACGCAGGAATCCGCTTCGTCGGCCCCGACCCGCGGGTGCTGGAAGTCACTGGGAGCAAAACGCTTGCGCGGGGGCTGGCGGTAGAGTGTGGTGTGCCCGTGCTGCAGGGGCTGCACGAGGCGACGGATGATCTCGAGGTTGCGCGGAGGTTTGCGGAGCGCCTGGGGTGGCCGGTGGTGGTCAAGGCGGTTGATGGCGGGGGCGGCCGCGGGATCAGGTTCGTAAACGCGGCTGGGGAGTTCGTGGATGCGTTCCGTCGCGCTTGTGGCGAGTCGCCGGCTGGAAAGGTTTTTGTGGAAAGGGCGGCGGCAGCGGGGGCTAGGCATGTGGAGGTCCAGGTGGTGGGTGATCTCCATGGGAATGTACAACCCGTGGGCACGAGGGAGTGCTCGGTCCAGCGGCGGTTCCAGAAGGTGGTCGAGTTCGCGCCGTCGCTGGTGCACGCGGAGGTGCTGCGGGATCTAGCGAATGACTCTGTGCGTATGGCGCAGACGATGAACTACTCATCGCTGGCGACATTTGAGTGGCTCGTTGATCCCACGACTACTCCGCCGGCAGCGTACTTTCTCGAGATCAACCCACGCTTGCAGGTCGAGCATACGGTTACGGAAGCGGTGCATGGCGTGGATCTGGTCAAGCTACAGCTGCAGATAGCGCAGGGCCACCCACTCACTAGCACCCTACTCCCTCCACCCCGCGGCCATGCCATCCAGCTCCGGATCACAGCCGAAGACCCGTCCAAAAACTTCTCCCTCTCACTCGGCCGGATCAGCCGGTTCGTGCTGCCGACCGGCAACGGCGTACGAGTAGACACGCACTTGCGCTCAGGGACACCAGTGATCATCGGCCCCGACTTCGACTCGCTGCTTTGCAAGATCATCGTTCACGGCGAGACCTGGGAGTCAACCGTGAGCAAGGCGCGTCGCGCCCTCGAAGACAGCGTCATCGACGGCGTCGCAACAAACATCCCGCTCCTCCGGGGGATCCTGGCGAGCGACGACTTCCGCGCCGCGGACGTGGGTATCCGCTGGCTGGAGACGAACATCCACAACCTACTACTACCTCCCCGCCAATCATCCTCACTCTTCGCCCCGCCGTCGACATCCCCACACTTCCCCACCACCAGCGCGGCTGTCGGCGCCCCCATGCTCCGCAAAGACGACGCCTGGGCCGTCCACCTCTCACCCAACACGGCACCGGAGCACATTCAAAAACACCACGTGACGATCTCGCGGCTGCTGCAGAACGACTTCCCGAACTCGCTCGCCGCCGAGGTGACATACACCACGGCCGCATCCGTCAGCACGTACAAGCTGCTGCTCAACAAGACCGTGCTCGGCGCGGCTGTGGGTAGCCACCGCAAGGGCGAAGCTGCGCGACAGGACCACGTCACTGTACCGTTTGGTGGTGAGGTGGTAGAGGTCAATGTACAGCACGGCGATGATGTGCACACGGGGGAGGTGCTCTGCGTCGTCAGGCAGATGAAGACGGAGTTGGAGGTTAGGGCTGGTGTTGCTGGTAGGGTCATCTGGGTCTGGGAGGTAAAGGTGGGAGCGATCGTCGAGGGCGGGGAGTTGGTCTGTGAACTGGATATCGGTATTGGACAGGCGGAGGCGAAGTTGTAGATATACCTACTGTATAGACGGCAATGGAATGCTGGTAGAGGCCTTCATGTTTCATCACTCGCTAAAATCCACACCGTGGACGGTGATATAAATGAGCCCGTATTGCTGGATACGAATGATATAGATTTAGACGGTGGCTGATGAATCGGGTGTTATATCATACACCCTTCTGATCATTGGATACCTATAACATCACGTGCGGCCTCCGAGACTATGGCGACCCTCCGCGAGTAACCTGCTGCCCTTGCCGTGGATATGATGAGAGACGGGGGGAAGCCTCTCGGACAGCCGGCAGCACAAAAGCGTGTCACATGATATCACCGAGTGATATCCAGTGCTCCATCCGTCTTGCCAAAACCAAAACCAAAAACCGTCACCACCCCCGGCGGGTGGCTTGGAAACCCCAAGAGCTGAATAAAAAGGTCTTTCACCTGGGTTGAGCCCGGAACCTTCCCTCAACTCCCCTCGCCGATTGCATGGCCCAGACCACTAGACCACGCGGGGGTTTTTTCCGTGCTGGAATTATGAATTCGATGCTCATAAAGTGGTGAGTGCCTCACGCGCGATGGACAGAAACAACGCCGAAGTGCAGTCTATTGGATCGGAGCGCCTGCATTATTCTTCCATTTCATACTGCGGTATCGCCTGCTTTATACACATGCGACTTATGGTGCTACGAACATTGTTGCAGTCTATGAAAATGGCGCATTTATCACCACCACCGCAGCTATTTGCTTACATGTCTTACGTATTTAAGATCTAGAGGGAGGGGGCTGACATGGTCAGCGAATAACGCATACAAAATCAGCTAGAGTCCCGTTCACCTGATTCCAGGGCGGTCAACCGTCCGTCCGGACTACAGTCCACTAGTGGCTGTAGTCCCGTCCCGTCCCGTCCCGTCCCGTCCCGTCCCGGGCAGGCTTTCCAGAGGACTGATCCGTCCCGTCCAGGGGATAAAATGCCCGGATACCTACAGGTACCTATCCCCTACATGTCCGGGCGGGAGTATGTTTGTTGCACTGCAAAGTATGCCCGATTAGGAGGCGGCAGTGCGTCTACACGACCACACGTCTCACTATCTCTATCAGCTTGGTTGCAGTTGTGCTGGTAGCAGTCACGGTTGCTACCAGTCACGGTTTCTACCAGTCACGGTTGCTACCAGTCACGGTTGCTACCAGTCACGGTTGCTACCAGTCACGGTTGCTACCATAATAGTCGCCGCCCCCGTCTCTGACCCACGGAACTTCAAATATCCTCGGTGCCAATGCTAGAGAAATGAGCAACGGCGCTTCTGATACAGAGGTTATGGGGCCGAGACTTGAGTCACAAACAGGCAGTCATGTTGCAGACGGGCCACCGGCGGATGCCACTACACTGCCAAATGTTTAGAAAACCTTCAGGAGGAGGGAAGTGGGAATGTACGCCGCTAGGTACGTAATGACAGAGAGCCCGTTTCTACTAACTTACACAAGTTTCTCTGCGGAAGTCGCCGAATGCTTTTGATATCACTCGGGTACCAACCTTTCTTCATCGGTCCAGATTGGGCCAACTTAGTGAGCTGGGATAAATGTACAAGCGCCGAACATGTATGGGATAGATAGACTGCAGACATGATATCTACCCGGACAACGTCTCGCATAACTCTGGTTAAATACAGGCAGGTATTTACTTAGCCAGGCTACATGCGAGCAACGAAGAAACAAAAGCCAAGATTGGACTCGGGAAGCGCAAATTCGCCGATCCCGTTACAGTCCCAGAAGATGCCTACATCTCTGTGCGGTACATGGCGGCTGAGGCAGTGAGATTGGGTTTGCATGTGCGAACCTGTAGCAAGGCGAGCGCCGGGACTGGGTGGCCTCAGAGCGTCACTCGCGTAACGGATGAGTAAACGCCATATCCTCACATCACTCGGACCTATCGCGAAATAAACTGGTGTTCCCCCTCTCACTCGCACTAACCACCCACCATTCTAAGCCTCTAGATAATAGATCTCACACGACACAAACATGTCATTAGCGGTATTATCAGATGTGCATCGACCCCACTAGCAAATAAAGGTGTAGCCCTAAGTCCCGCGAAAAGTCGCACATGACACGAGCTCTCTTCTCACCCCTCCTCCTCCTCATCTCCTACTCCCACACATCTCACTTCTTCCTTTGACCCTTCTTCCTCTTCCTTTCTTACACGCACGTCATTTTTCTTCGCTCCACCTTTCTCCTTCCATCTTCCTTCCGCCGTTCTCCTTCCACCTTTCTACTCCTATCTTCCTTCCACATTTCTTCTTCCACCTTTTTCCTTCCACATTCCTTCCACCTTCCTTCCACCTTTCTCCTTCCACATTTCTCCTACCACCTTCCTTCCTACACAACAACTTCCAATTCCTCCCAATACTACGGCCTTCACCGGCCATAACCAGCTCCTCCATAACAGTTAGTAGTAAGCACAACATCCTCACACCAATACGGCCACCACAGAAAACACTTCCTCCCTTCTCTGCAGGCTTTTTACTCTAATCCACAGCAGCGAGAGCAACTTGAGTTTAATCATCGGATTAACGGAAAGGAAAAACGTGGAGGACTATGCTCCAACAACCCAGTTATAAACGAATTGATTAAACGAATTGATTAAATGGCAACAGCAGCTACGGCGGCAACGGCGACAAAAGCGAAACCAGCAATCGAAACAGCAGGTTAATATCGGCGGACGACAGTTCAGCATCTCGGCTGACGATATTAGCAACAGCAGGTCGGCCATTCGGCGGACGATACGGGCAAAAGCAGGTCAGCAATCGGTTGGGAAGCAGGTCAGCATCTCGGCGGAAGCAGGTGAACGGAAGCAGGTCAGCGATTGGGCGGAAACAGGTTGGCAATTGGGCGGACGACACGGGCAACAGCAGGTCATAAATCGGTTCGGAAGCAGGTCAGCATCTCGGCGGAAGCAGGTGAACGGAAGCAGGTCAGCGATTGGGCGGAAACAGGTTGGCAATTGGGCGGACGACACGGGCAACAGCAGGTCATAAATCGGTTCGGAAGCAGGTCAGCATCTCGGCGGAAGCAGGTTAACGGAAGCAGGTCAGCGATTGGGCGGAAGCAGGTCAGCAATTGGGTGGAAACAGGTCGGCAATTGAGCGGACGACACGGGCAACAGCAGGTAATCAATCGGTTCGGAAGCAGGTTAGCATCTCGGCGGAAACAGGTTAACGGAAGCAGGTCAGCGATTGGGCGGAAACATGTCGGCAATTGGGCGGACGACACAGACAACAGCAGGTCAGCAATCGGTTCAACAGCAGGTCAGCAATCGGCGGAAACAGGTTACCATCGGCGGAAGCAGGTTAACATCTCGGCGAAAACAGCAGCAACCCTCCTTTGCGATCTGCAGCAATGTAATGTTGTTCTTCATCAGGGGAAGAAGATGAAACATGCATCCGCCCGCCACGCCATGGCTCTCAATGCTGTGGTTGTGGTGGATGCGAAGCCGATGCAGACATGTAGGCATTCCGGGGACCATTAATGGATATTTCACGCCAGCAACGTCAGCAAAGCACCATTCCTAGGCCAGGAACGTACTGAAGAGACTCAGAAACTACCAGATGGCCGGGAACAACGGCCTTCGGATCGGTTGTCCGTTCGCCGGTGGAAAGGAAATGCACAGTATGCAAGTATATGGTTGCTGCAAACTGGCCGGCCGACCACTCGATTTATGAGCACCAGCGGGCAGAGGAGCAGAGCAACAACAACCAAATTTTCAAGTAGTGTGGAGTAACTTATCTAGGTAGAGCAAAGCACAGTATCCACCAATCCTCGTGTCCGCCGTCAATCGAAATGTCGTACCAGTAGTAAATTCTAATGTCTCATCAAAGCAGATCCTCCATCCTCGTCTATTCCAATCAATCCCCGAATCCGCACTGTGATGTCCAGCCGCACAGCCACACTTCCGCAAACCGGTGCCACTGTGTGGCGCCACACCACTAGCACTGTCCTAGTTTCCCAGTCCATTCCGGGCCCTGTAGGGTATTTGTTCTCCATTCGCCAGCCTGGCAGACTGTAGTCCTTCTTCTCTCTAGCCCGACTAATTCCGTCCCGTCTCGGGCAACCTCAAAACCGGACTGGACGGACGGTTGACCGCCCTGCCTGATTCCGATGATTCGAGGGACAGCCGCGTAGTTTTGCCGCAGCGAGCTCGGCTGTTTTGTAGGGGCTCCCGGATTGTGCGGAAAGAATGAGTACATACATCATATGTAGTAGGTATCCTCTCACGCTACGCGCTAATCTATCTTCTCGCGGGATTCCTAGCTGTTCTGGGGTCCGTCGGAAAGAGACAACAACCAAACACCACCGACCTTCCAAACACGGGTAATCCTTGCAGAATCTTTGACCGTATGCCGTTTGCTTGCTTCTGCTTCCTTTCATCCTCACTCCCTTCCTTTACTGTCATGAGCGAGTCGAGCCCGTACCTATCTAGCGGCTGCGCTGGGCCTCGTTTGTACATACATCGATGAGTCGCGTGGTGCGTATTTTAGTGGTGTGGGGTTTAGTCAAGCGATCCTGCCCACCATCGATCCTGTCCAATACTGTATCGATCCCAGCCACGACCAGAACTCGCCCTGAATAGGTATTTCCGTGACTCTCCGTGACTCACTCGCAATCCATGCGATTGATATTGATCCTCAAGGCAAAGCATTCTCCTAGAAATGGTTGTAAAATTAGCCACCTTTATAGGTAGGTACCAGTCGATTAATCATCAATGCATTCTGCGTACATAGATATCTATTCATGGTCTTGGATGCGTTTTCCATTCTCGAAGCCCCGGATGCCCGTCCACGACTCCACAGCGGACCTATGGCCGTCGCATGGTTCCTGCATACCTACCTAGGTACTCTGCCTATATCAGGTATGGAAGGAGGATACGCGGGAGAGGATGAGTAAGCGACGTGACAACTGTATCCTCCATCGAACCGCCGGACTGGTCGCAAACTTGCAGTGGGGGCCTCGGGAGCGAGT